TTCTCCAACCACTTGATGTGGGCATCTTTAGCCCATACAAGAACTATTATGCTCAACTATTGGAAAAGGAGTTTCGTTATGGGCGCTATGGGGTATCAAAAGCCAACTTCTGGGAGTTTTTATCTCAAGCCCGAGAGAAGGCTTTTACAGTACAAAACATTAAATCTGCCTTTGCAACAACCGGTATCCATCCACTCGACCGATATACAGCACTCCGAAAGGTTCCTTCCTATGATCCTGTTCGGCATACCGATCCCTTATTGATGTATGATGATCCACCGGACTCAAACTTGAAGAAGCCTTTGCATTCCAGTCAGTATACTTTTCTGCTTTCTATATCATAATCAGGAGCCTTACCTGCTTTCTTTGATTCTGCTGCTAACTTCCGGTTTATAAATGAAGCTTTCCTTCATCAAAACCGACGACAGCATTCTAGTACCCCTCTACAGGCTCCCGCATCTGGTATTCCGACGACACCCAAAACTCCGAAATCCTTGAAACAATTAACAGACGATCTATTACAGTCAGCCCGCAATCCCTCTCGTAGCCCATCCAAAATTCAGAACCATAAGGCAAAACTTACCAAGTTAATCCATTCTGCCCAATTTGCTCATGCAAAGGTCCACTTAACGGAAGAGGCACGACTTCAACAAAAGGAAGAAGACCGAAAACGAAAAGCACGAGACCAGCCTTGTGCCCGTAAAAAGATCCCAATGCATGGACAATCCTTTGCTACTGCGGAGGATCTACGCCGGTGGAGGAGAGATATTGTTAGCAGCGAATACAAAAAACTTCAACGAAAACGAGAAGGACAAATCCAGAGACAGCAACACTTACTTGACCAACTTCATGAGCTGGAACGAAAGATAGAAGACAAATCACAAAATCCACGTTCTCGAATCAGACTAAACCTTGACATCTTACGCGGAAAGAAAGACGAAGTCAAGGAAAAGATTGTCCCCCTAGCGACAAAGATCACACTACTGGACGATAAGTTAGCGGAGTTTGTTCGTGAAGGATTAGAGGGAACAGACCACAGTGATATTGGTGAGGATGTTGATGGAAGTGACGACAGCTCGGAGGGTGGTGATGGGATTGGACATGATATCAGACATGATGGTGCAGACCCGATTGTAATGCTGGATTAAATTTCAATTAGTTTGTACCTTTGAAACAGTTTCTTAGTTCTTACCTTCTCTTTTTTGTGTTTTTCTTTTTCTTCTTCCTCTGTTTAATCACCCTCATCTTCTCTTAGCAAAAACGGAATGTGGTGTGTTGTGGATGTGTGGTGTGTTGCGGATATGTGGTGTTGTTCAGGGTTGTAGTGTTGAGAGAAAAATGGTCCTGTACGGTATTAAGAGAGAGAAGGTGAAACAGGTGTGGACGACCAACCTGTCAGGGCTGCCAAGACAGTAAGCGGCCGCGCCACTCTCGCAACTCAAGAATCTCGCAACGCCGGAAGAGACTGTAGCATCACAAGCTCACGTAACTTAGATACCCATGCTAGTACCGGTACTGCACTGTACTATGGGAAACGAGGATAATTGAAAGTGGTAGTAAAACGTAGGTATTGGTCGATTCAAAGAAAGCTATTTCTCTCACGTACTGTACAAAAGATAAAGGGGTTCAGTATTATGGCTCATTCTAACCCGAAATCCCCGACCTTCTCTACGAGAGCCCCGGGGAGAGGGATCTATAAGAAGATAACAAAGCTCGTGGAGTAGTGATGGAGAAAGGTAAAGGGTGAAAAGTGATTGGATGGAGAGCAAGGTAGATATTATGTGGGTGCGGGTGGGGGCGCTGGGGGGATGGGAAAGCTAGCAGTAAGTTACTCGTGATCCAACCCCCCGAAATTGAACTCTTGGGAAATAAATGGATATCTGCTTTATGGACTTGATCATCAGGCAACGGGAAGCCTTGATGCGCTCTGCAAACGAAACCGTTAGGGACTAGGAGTGTCGCTATTGCCCTTCATGACCGGTTCATATGATATGGCGTAGAACCCGCGGACCCAACCCAAGCCTCTCAACCTTATGCGATGATAAAAGTGGAAAAAAAAAAAAAAAAAAAAAAAGGAAAACCAAAGAAAAAAACAAGCAATCACGAGGACCGCCCAAACGGAACACAGACCAACTGCTTGTGCTGTGCCATTTTCTCTGCGTGGCCATGATTACGGCAGCAACTAGGGATATGTTTGCGCGGTCACGGAGGCCACATAACAATACCCCTACATCTTTTTCCGGGTCAACCCGAGTTCCCCTCCGCCATGCCTCTCCCCATAGTGTGTCTCCAGCGCCCCCACATCATTGAACATCATCCTACACACCCGACAATAACTGTGTCCCGGCAAGCCCTCACGCAGATGATCTTCCAACTCTTGGTGATTTCTAAATACTTTCCCACCAGTCTCCGTGCTGCATGCAGGGCAGTACGCATGATGACTGACGATGTGTCTGATCTGCGACTCTATATCTCCGAATCCCCGCCCGCACTCTTCAAGCGGGCACGTGAAGCGAACACGTTCCATGGGGGACGGTGAACGCGACCCGCCCTGCTGCCGCCTCTCTGGGGTGGTGTGTCTAGTGGTGTGTCTCTCTATCCAATGCTTCTCCATCTCTTCCACTTCCTTAAATCCAGCTGTACAAGATGGATGTCTACAAGCAACCTTCTCCAACTCGCACTTCTTCCGGTGGTTCTCACGGCACTCAAAGTTTATAAACTTCATCCGGCATTTTGGCACGGGGCACTCGAGCACCTCTCTGTGCGCTGTGAGGTAGTGCAGGTTCATCTCATAGGGGCGTGCGAACAGCGCCCCGCATCCGGGGTCTTTGCAAGGGACCTCCCTCCTTGCTACAGGGCGGGTATACGCTAGGGAAGTGACATGGTGTAAGTCTTGGAGATAGTGATTCTGCTCCTCGGCCCGGGAGCCAAAATGCGCGTTGCACCGCCCGCAGTGCGCGTGCAAGGATTTTGCTGCTGTGATCCAGTGGTGAACCAGTTCCCCACGGGTGGGGAAATCCAGGTCGCATTTTGTGCACATGTTGTGCCTGTCGGAGCGTTCGCAGTGTCGGCGGAAGCAGGTTGCGGATTCGAAGTGTGCGTCGCAGCGGGTGCAGTAATGATGCCTGCGGACGTCGCCGAAGTGTGCCTGGTATTCGGCGTGGTTGGCGAAGCAGACTGCGCAAGCTATGCAGCGACTGAGGGCTTCTGAATGGCTTGGCTGCTGCTGTTGCTTTGAGAATGTGTGGTTGAGGCCATCGGGCGGTAGCGGCATGAACAGGGTGGGGAGCAATAACCGTGGAGAGATCTCTCGGAAGCTCATGGGGGGGAGGGGGGGAGTTTGGTTCGATTGGCTCCGTCTGGTAGCCAGCCCAGGCGAAACGATTCTTCTCTGCTCTCCTCGCGCCTGTGACCAAGTTACGAGCCGGACCACATAACCATGGCTGTAATATGGGAAGAGTGACAAACCATGACCGAATTTTGAACAATACTTAATGAGTGTGAAGCGTTTGGGAGATAATGGGATTAAAGACTAATAGTGCAGTCCTCTAGGCTACAAACTATCAAAGAAATGATCGGCAAGTGGTGAAATTGTAGAAATAGTTTTAGAGAAAGAACGTTGACACAAAGGCCCCAAGGGTTGGGAATGCATCATAGGTTATATAGCTCCTCAGAAGCCGGGACTGCCGCCTTCGGGTAACGACGTATGCGATCCCTGTACGACTGTATAGTAGGTAGCATTTGATTCGTTCAGACCCCAAGGCCGATAACCCATGCCCGAGTAACAGGCGTTGGATGCCGACAGACAGACATAGAGTGCTCGGGGGCGTCTAGCCCGGCCTATGATTCAATAGGCCTGGGAAAGCTTCCACCAAGGCCCATTGATGTCATGGGCTCACCTACTGGAGCCTCAGTACCAGAGAAACGACCGGGCGAGACTTATTTTATCTTTTCCCTTTTTTTACTCGTCCAATAGGTCTATTTAGTACCGGCAAAAAAACAGACATTCAGCGGGAATGACCTCAGAATCACCCGGGAAGTGTAATCGCCATATCGGAAAATGTCCATTTCGCAATGATCCTATCTCGCGTAGTCAAATTGAGCCCTGTATTTGCCCAGGTAGTTAGGATACTACATCACCACTAAGCAATCGTGGATCTTGCCGCACGTATGGGCACGCTGTCGATGGGATTGACGTCGTTTTTTTTCTTTTTTCTTTTTTTTTCTTTCTTGAAATTCCCTTCTCCAGAATATCGTAGGCCACGTATCGGGAATGTAACCCGATTTCTCTGGGGGATCTCCCGGCTCTGCCAATTCTACCTATCGATTTTCCTGTGGTCCCAGGGTTTACCAACGGAATCCTTGAGGTTTGGGGAGGTTCTGGAATGTGGTACTAGATTTGCAAAGCCTTTGGGGCTTCGTGTTATCCGGATGATCGCATTAGAAGTGGTGACTTGTGCAGCGACGATCGGGTGGAAGCGATGTGTTCGAGAATGTAAATCCGTTCCGATGTAAGATATAACCGTACTGTGCCCGTGCTGTGCTCGGAGAGAAAAATGTGCGGAGTGACATTAAAGTTGTGATAGGCTCCATTCTAATTTGGGAGAAAGGCTGTGTGTGTGGGGGGTCAAGTTTGTGCTTGGATGGACCCTTTGACCGGGTTTTATTGGTATGCCAAGAGCCGAGGGTTATTTGGCCAACCAACTTTCCTTGAACGACGGCTGGTCCCTAAACCATCCAGAGGTAGTTCACAACCAAGCTTCCCCACAATAATCGGCTAGAGGAAAAGGAGTTCATCATCACCGCCATGAACGGTCTTCGCATGGACGAGCTTTCCGCTGAGGTTGAGGTCTTGGAATCGTCAGTAATTTCTTTGGGGGAGGCAGGAACATGAGGCAGCCGTGCTAACATCTTGGGGGAAAAAAAACACAGGAAGCTATCCAAGACTGCAGACCTCACTACCAAGATCGCCCTGAGCTTGAAAAAATTATCAGCAAGTGCACAGAACGTCGAGCAGGCAGTCAAACCCATATACAACAAGACCCAGTCATTAACGGTGCTTTCCGGAAGTAAGGGAATCGGCTCACCTCCTGAAATGCTGCCGGTGAGCTAAGATTGTGGGTTACAGATATCGATGAAGCAATATCTGCAATAGACAGGGTGCGCCAACCTACAGATGTAGTATCAAAGGAGGAGAGTACAATACGTCAAGGGTATATCCCCCGAAGCTTTTTGGCTCCTTACCCAGACACGTTTCCTTCCGGTTTTCCTATGGCGCCTCCGTTCCGACAAATGCATACTAGCAGAACTCGTGCTTACTGCCCCACCACACAGGCCTTCGAAAACCGGTCTAACCGAATACCTCGCTTCTCTAAAACGGATCAATGAGGCTCTATCGTGCCTGAAGAAATCGAACTTGCGGAGCTCTCAGAAAGCCGTTACTCAAATGGTTTGTCATGAGGTTGCGTATAGTGGATAATGGGGTAACCGCTAACGGGTCTCTTTCCAGACGGGCCTTTTGAAAGTGGGGAGTCTACAACTCGAAGATCTATTTAGGCAAGCATTAGCCGAGGATTCAAAATCCGTGGAACCTCTACATTTCATTACCAAAGGTAACACCACAGATGTGCCCCATTCGCGCAGTTGTTGTTGGATCTGACTAAGCCTTTGAAGAGCTCCCATTCCCAACTTTCCAACCCCACAAAATCAACATGTTGGCTGTGCTGAATGATTTTCTTTCCTCGACCCTTGCTGCCTCTGCTGGGATACAGTCAAATGCACCCCAAGTATATGCAGAAGTGCGTGGGCCCTACATCACCAACTCATTGGCATCCCTGGCCCTGGCAATAGTAAACACCACCCGCCGAACACCTGCTGCCCCTTATGACAAGGGGTCAAACGGTATATCGGTGTATACCAATGCCCTGGAAGCTATCTTTGAGGCCGAATACGAGAATATCTGTCATCTCTTCCCCACTGCGGAATGGTCTCAGGTGTACATTGCTACAACCGCACTGCCTATGGGGGTATTCAAGAAGACACTGGTAGACCTAAACGTGTTCGTCAAGCAAAATATGACCACGGACTGCTTTCTTGCTTTTGACGTGATCGAAAACGTGCAACCGGCAAGCATTAGGCTAAAGACCAAAACAGGTGAACAGAAGGAGTTTTCCGAAGCACTAAAGCCGCTGAGAACCACAGCACAGAGTAGCTTCTCATATTTCTTGGAGGATATAAAGAAGACTGGCCAAGGACTTATTGCATTGCCCCTGGACAACACTGTCGTGGATATGACTGTGAACGTGATGTCTCGTCTTAGACGGATGGCAGATTACCCCAACGCTATTTCTAGTCTTTTGGTGTCCCTGGGTGAGGGTAACTGGAATCGTCCTTATACGGCGCCAGCAGTCATTCCCCCATCCTTCGATGTAGGCGCCGATGGATCACTTCTACTCTCAAACTTCTGTTTGGACGCCATAGATCAGCTTATCCATGAGCTCGAACAAAAGGCTCGGGCTATCATCAAGAAGAACTCCCCGGTAGCTGTCTTTATGGTCAACAACGTTCACTTCATCGAGAGCAACATTCGTACAAGCGACCTTCGCAAGATCATGTCAAATCAGGCGCAGGCCAAGGTTGAGAAATGGAGGAAGGATGCCGTTAAGATGTACATGGAGCAATGGAGAGAATGTGCTGCATTCCTGATGGATGTCACTTATACTAAACAGCAGGCCGGTGGAAAGCTCAATCTCAATAGCAAAGAGAAGGAAGGCGTCAAGGAGAAGTTCAAGGTCCGTTTCTGATATTCCGATATTGGTGATGCAGCTGCTAATACCGGATAGAACTTCAACACGGTTTTCGAAGAGCTAAATCAGAAGCACAAATCATACACATTTCCGGACAAGGAAGTGCGCGCGATGCTCTCCAAGGAGATTGGATTTATTGGACCACTGTATGGCAGATTTTATGACAAGTATAAAGATCTAATGAGGGATAAATATGTCAAATATGACCGCCATCAGTTAGATACCATGTTAGCTCAACTATAAAAAATGGCAAGAGTATATAATTTCCGTAATGGTTTGTAGTTGGGGTCCCGTAGTTGGCGGTTCTCCGCGGTGGAATATGTACTTAGTCGCTGGGTTTTACGGGTGTGGTGCACCTCTTTTGGCTTTCCTTGATTATGGGTATTTTCTTGGTCCATAGGAATCAAAAACCAATATTTTTCCTCGAGCACTTCTCTCAGTGCTCCAGAGGATATCTATTCCTTGAGCCCTTGAACCCCTCCCCTCCACAAGCAAGAGCTACCCCACTGCCCCATTCCCCCTCCCTATAAACCACCCGCAACCTATTGTTGATTTGTGTTCCAGTGGTTCAGGATTATTAAAAGGAAAAATGTGCCGTTAAAAGTCCCAACAAAACACTGACCCAAAGAATAAGAAGAAACAAAGCCCCCGGAGCGGTCATGAATTTTGGTACAGAATGAAATTTTATTTGTTTATTCCCATGCCGATACCAAGTCCCCTGGATACCAAACAAATCCCCCGTCCTTAACGTAGTCGCCTAGCCTCACGCTCGGATTCGAGCAAGCACAGAATGTCGTCTTCGCGGACGGGCCCCTTCACGTTACGGATAATAGATCGGGTAGTGTCGTCCATGAACTCGACGCGGACCTGGGTGACACCTCCACGGGAACCTAGCAGGTAACAAAATTTAGGTCGCCATAAAAACTGATGATAGATCGTAGGGTAGGAAGAATGTGAGTAGCTAACCGGTACGACCGAGAACCTTGATGACCTTGACGAGCTTAACACCAGCCTTTCCTGAATCCATGGTTGATTATGTCTAAGCTGCGATTTATGTTAGCACAGGATCGTAGCCTAGGAAACAATTCTGACTGTAGGGAGAAACTTGCTGTATGTGTAGATTTGACGGCTGCGATGTCGGCGGGGAAGTTTTGTCTAGTGGTTTGAGTGGAAGTGTGAGATTGGCTAGACGCGCGTTGATTTCTCTCGTGATTGGGGAATTGTGGTGTACTGTAGGAAGTTTGAACTTTTGGGCGGGATGTTGGCGGACTGTTGTGTGCGGTTACTAGGGTTAGCCCTATGTACGGATGAGGCTCTGCGGGCCTCCGTACCTTGCCATCCCGAGGACAAAATGGAAGGAATAGTAAAAGCCTAACCGATTCGGAGAGCCTGGGGAACTATTAAATGTTTTGAATACGATCGAGGTTTATTTCATTCATTATGGTATCCTGCATTCTTTGACAGTTTGTGTTGCTAGGATCTTCAGGGTCAGGGCCAAGCAGATGGTGGGGGATCGGACGAGCATGCTGCGCTCCCCACCCACAGCGGCCCCTCCCTCTTCTCTCTTGAATCAACCGCCAATATCGAATCGCCTACTTAATGGCCCACCCGGCTCAGATGAACAATCTGACGACCCTCATCAAACGGTCAGTAATAAGAATTCACGAAGATTCTCACTTGGCAACCGTCCTATTTTCAACCCTTCTGTTCCCTGCTAACTCGACCCCGTAAAGCCTTGAGGCTGCCACCTCCCGTTTGGAGGATTTAGCATCGCCTCCTGTCGACTCTAATCCCGGTGTAACTACTGCACTTCCTAGTAATACCAGCGCGTCTTCTTTGGTGTCGACTACTACAGTACAAAATCCACCCCCGCCAGCTCCAGAGCCGCTTCCTGCATCTGTTGAGGACTTTGACGAGCTGATAGCTAGGGAAGTCGCACTGTATGTTAACAAGAGCACCGAGATAGGCGATCTCGTAGCAGAACAGGTTCGGCACTTTCTCAGTGTAGTATTACATCTCCCGGCTCCTGATTCAAGTTGTCATGCAGAGTAAAGCTGTTGAGAAATGCTTCGCGGCTCAGAGAAAATTTCTTGTTATCACAACCAAGGCCAAGAAGCCAGGATCATCAACGCAACTATTTGTTGATCTGGTCGCTGAAATGCAAACTGAGCTTACCAACGTCTCCAATATCCGCGAAAATAATCGGCACTCTGCGCTCTCCAACCATTTGTCGACCGTTAGTGAAGGTATTCCCGGTCTTGCTTGGGTAACGGTGGAGGGGAAGCCAGCAAAATATGTCAGAGAAATGCTGGGTGCTGCGCAATTCTTCGGTAATCGTGTGATTACTTCGCACAAGGAAACGTGTGCCATACAAACTCCTTGATGCCTTCGGTTCAAATACTAATTAAAATAGGTCTCCAAAGCACGTTGAATGGGTGCGCTCGTTTTATACTGTCCTGATGGCTCTTGAAACCTATGTTGCCAACCATCATGTCCTGGGAGTGACATGGAATGCTAGAGGCATCGATGCCAAAGAAGCGCTCGCACTCGCAAGTAGCTCTTCGACGCCTTCGCAAGGACCCGCCCCCACCAGTGGAGCCCCCCCTCCTCCGCCCCCGCCTCCACCACCTCCACCGCCGCCACCGGGCGCACTTGATGGGCCAGGAACTCCTGCAGGAGGAGATATTGGCTCAGTGTTTGCCGAAATCAACCGTGGGTCCGATGTTACGGCTGGCTTGCGCAAAGTGAATAAGGATGAAATGACACACAAAAACCCGTCTCTCAGAGCGAGCTCCATTGTCCCAGCCGGATCCTCTTCAAGCCTAAGAACAAAGTCGCCTGCTCCTCCTTCAAAATCTAAGCCTGCACACTTGACTAGGAAGAAGCCTCCTAAGAAGGAATTGGATGGAAGTAAATGGTACATTGTAAGTAGCAAATTCTCACCGACCATCTCTCGGTCTCCCGACATTAACAACGTTTTACGCCACAGGAGAATTATGAGAACGAACATTCATTGACCCTTAAGGATGTTGAAATCAACCACTCGGTTTTCATCTTCCGTTGCAAGAACACAACAATCCAGATCAAGGGCAAGATCAACGCCGTTTCTCTTAACGAATGCGTCAAGACAAACGTCATTGTGGACAACCTTGTCTCTTCCATTGAGGTCATCAAGTCTAATAATTTTGCCATACAAATCATGGGCAAGGCACCAAATCTACAGGTCGACCAATGCGACGGTGGCACAGTATATGTCTCGAAGGAGTCATTGGACATGGAAATCTTCACTTCGAAATCATCGGCAATCAATATCAATGTTCCAGGGGCTGGCGAAGATTGGGACTATCAAGAGTGCCCGGTGCCAGAGCAATTAAAGACTACGATCAAGGGTGGCAAGTTAGAGACTGAGATTGTAGAGCATGCTGGTTGAGTGAATTTTGTGAATGAGTCCTACATCAGCCTGAGTTTTCCTTTCTTTCTTTTTTTCTTTTTGTCTTCCTTTGCTGCTTTGCATGTCCGATTCTCTTTCCCTATTAGATAGTGGATTCACGTCTCGTGTTTACCTTTGTTCTGTTCTATTATACAGTAGAGGGTAAAAAGAAGAAAAAAAAGACATCGAGTCTACACATTTGGAGAAATATCAGGAGTAATAATGGCAAAGGGATTTAAACCAGCTCACGGAATTTCTCAAGATTTTTGTGAAATGGCTGAATAATTGAAACATGTACATCTATCGCCTCCTTAGATACCAGGCGAATGCCATTTGCAGGACTTCTTCGGGGTAGGGAGACGGTGCCTGCAGAAAGGCATTGTTAGATATGAAAACTCGGTACTGTATTTGAGGGGGAAGATAGTCCTACTTCGGCCAATCCAGGTTTAGCAACTGGGTGCCGGAGATACACGGCATGGCATGTATTGTGGTTGACCTAAATCTGTTAGTCAAAAATCCCACCCAGGCACAAAACTAGCTATCCGATACCTCGAGATATCTCGGAATGAACGCGAAAGGCGCCAGATAGTTCCTCGGCCTCCAAGGCGTGGCATAAGGCTTAGTTAGGTCCAAGACGTTATTCGGGTCCTGGCTCAAAGCTTTGAGTTTCTCTTTGGCCTCTCTACGCCTAATCTCTTCCTCTGTCTCTCCCTCGGTCGAGGCTTGCTTGCTCTCGCTAGGTGATGGTGATGGTGATGGTTCTTCCGTTTCCTTTTCCACAGACTTGGCTTCCGTGTCTCCTACGGCTTCCCCTTCCTTAGCTTCGGCTTTGACCTTGCCTCCCTCTCCCTCGGTCTTTTCTTCTCCCTCGGTGGCGTCGGTTTCCGCTGCTACGCCCTCGGCGTTCTTAAGATCACGTTTTGGCTGCCCGGTCGCGAAAAGGACTTGGTCTTGGTCGACAGAGAACATATCTCCGGGGTTGAGCATATACCCTGGGTGCACCATCTACACAAATCCAATCAACCCCCCCCCTCCTCTCTCTCTCCTTTCCTCCATGGGAAAGCCCGAGGGGACATACCTTCTTCCCATTAACCTTCACAAACCCGTGCACGACAAATTGCCTCGCCTGCCTCGCACTGCTCGCAAACATAGCCCTATGCACGGCCATGTCGAGCCTCCTCTCCATGGGCCAGAACAACTGACTCATGTACGGCACAGTCTTCACCCTCCCATAACCCTCATCACCCTGCAGTCCACTACCCCTGCCCATCGCCATCTCGCTACCGTTGTGCAGTGCCAGCCGCACGTTCTGCATCGGCACACTCGCCTTCATCGTATGGCGGAAGATGTTCTGCCATTGCCGGTTCGTCAGGTGTTCCCCGTGATAATGGCGCACCTCTGCCTTTGCCGCCCACTTTTGCTGGAAGAAGGTCTTCTGCGAGGGTATGCGCGGCTGGGGTGCGCGGGACATGTTGTACAGGACGTACTTGGACCATGATTGGCGGAGTTTCTGTTTTTTTCGTGAGGGTTAGCTGGGTGTTGACGATGTGGAGGGAGCGGAGGAATTGGAGGGGAGGGAGGTACGGATTTCCGTAGGACGTAGAGCTTTCGGCGCATTATGGAATTGGGGTTTTTCCCCCTTTGTGGGTTGTTTAGTTGAGTGGTAGCGGTTGCTAGTGGGGGTTGGTGGGGTGAAGTTGAAGTTTGATTGATCGGATTGGATAGTGGACATTTTCTTGGGTGAATAGTAGTGGCTTGGCAAAATCGGGTCACGTACTATCACTCATGCACATGGTGCCCATTGGTCCGTTAGTCCAGGCGCAATTATCGGGAAGCCTGTGATACTAGAATCCATGTTTCGAGTTCTTGTACTACCAGAAGCGCTAGGGGCAGTGTGCTCGAGGGTTCCTCGGGCCGCTTAATTTATCGCAAACTCCTCTTTCTTATTTCCGGTGCAACCTATGATAAAAGTGCCCAGCACACGACTCGTCAAAAGACCCATCCACAGCGTTCTCAAAACCTAGGTGTGTACGATATATCATACGTAACCGCGCTCGGAGTTGAGGATGCGGGGCCACTGTGATCCAGCCCTGTGCTCTGGCAACCGCATATGGTGCTCCATGGAGAGTGCCGAGGACGCGGTGCCGCGGTGAATAGAAACTTTCTCCCCATACTACTATGAGTTTGCGATATTCGGGTTCCACGAGGACCTAAAGACACCCGTTTGTTCGTTCTTGGGAATCATTCCAGACTAGGAAGCTCTCGTTGGAAGTTAAGAGAATAGCCTCACTCGGTAGGTATATTTGATCATCGGATAAAATTCAAATCCTGTACGGTCGATCAGCGGGGTGTTGCTTTGATGCGGTGCTTAATTCTAGTATGATATCAGCTAGTAGAAAGTTTGAAGTGATGATATTTAGCTCTTCCACCTTTCCTCGCCGGCGTTTCCCTATAAAATACTAATCAAGTGGGGAATGAGGGACACTATAGCCATCCAACGAGTGATTTTTCCAATAAGGCATTGTCTCCATGCAAAGGTGATATATAGACCCCAATCACCCCCATAATTATTTAATAAAAACTGCACGCTCGAGCACAAGGCAGCCGGATAGCATCACTTGTTAACAACTTTACCACTATTATAAACAGTCAGCGGGCGTACCAGAGAGTTCAATATAACACAATACGACACAATATAATACCTCAGTCCCGATATGATGTCCGATGTCCATCACCTAAGGAACGGTACTCCCGCAGTCCATGATGCACGGCTCTAAACATGGCAAATGCCAATTGGAAGGGTTGGACGTGGTGGTGGTGTGGTCAAGGGGGGATACTAAAGATTCTAGATATCAAATTCCACTTGCCAGGCCGCAAGGATTACAAGCAATGGAAAACTAGCGTGCCTCGCCCAGAAAAGCAGGTATTTCACCACAAAAATATTGCAGGATAGATGGGTGGAGGCTTTAGCTCACATAACTGCGGAATCGGTCAAGGGCACCGCATCTGCCGGGTGGGAATCCACGATCAAGGATTCCAGAAACTTTGCTAGCCGCGATTCTCGCAAGTGGATTTCTCCCACAATCGGCATATCCCGGCGCAGAATCCTGATGCTGGTATCATAAAAAGCACTAGCATTTATATCAGGTAGTTTGGACTAAGATTGTCTAATTGCAATACATTTGACCCCCATTATCTGGACCACCGCGGTTGTCTATAGCTCGGCCACCCCTTTTTCTTCAATCATACGCTTCGATCGCCCAATCACCTTTCCCGGTCAAGATGCCGATTGATGTCCTCCCTTCCAAAACCTCACCATGAGGCGTACCGGTGGTTCAACGCTTAGACAACCCCCTCTTGAAGCTCAATCGTTGCTCTCCAGTAACTGGAGAAGTGGGCGGTGCTGTCCCTACCTCCTAGAAAAAAAACTCGATGGCAAGTGAACAAAGGGGTAGAATATAGATAGGTACTGCTGAGATGTTTGGCCATAACCATGCAAAATGCCACACACATCTCTCATCGAAGGTAAAGGCCCCAAACACCCATAACCACATCCCCTGAACCTGATGCACAGTCTCACTCCAACGCCCTCAAATAATTGAAAGCCCGCGGAGGATCATGACCCGAGCCAAGGTATCATACTTCCCCCACTCGTGGCCGCCGAACGATCACATAGTGTTGACACAGGCGTCACATCGTACGAACAAAAGCACGGCCCGGGGGAAGCACTCCCCGCAGTTCAATCCAAGTGCACTAGCACAGAACTCAGGCCATCAAGCTCTCCAGGTATACACCCCCAGGGCAACTCCTTCCTTCCTTCCTTCGAACCCACCCGATACAATCTCGAGAATCGCAACAGCCAAGCCCCTTACCACGACCACCACCACGCATGCATGCCAATTCACCATTCCGATTCCCCTATCAAGATAAGGAATCCCCCCCTATTAACTCACTCCCAACCTCCATGTATCTCCGCTTTCTCCTTCCTTCCTTCCTTCCTTCCTTCTACTCTACACGCAATCTTTAACCTCTATCTCCCCTGCACTCCTCCACCACTCCCGAGAGTGATAAGAGATATCATACAAGCACCGACCCGAGTGATACTTGATGACCACAATTCATCCACCCCAGCAAGCCACCGTAAATCTAGAACGCATGAGACTACCCTATCCAGCCCGATAACACCATTCCCCTTCCCCTCCAACTCAACACGAGACGGGCAGGACGGGAAAAAGTAAGATACGAGTACATTTACAGAACATATAACAAGCATTCACCCAATAGCAAAGGGACCACAGATAAAGAGATACGATAAGTCGCCAGCAGATAAATTAATTCATCGGGGATATCATACCGGTACTGTAATTAGCTACTTGCCTAGCTCGCTTATCTCTCTCCCGGCCGGCCATTATTAATTTAACTTGAGGGGGACCTAACGGTTTTTTTTGTTTTTCCTTTTTCCTCCCTCCTTCTTTCTTTCAAATGTATGGTAGACTAAGTATGATATCTTGGTTTGTGGTGAGGGGTATTATACGGTACGGTACAAGTACGAGAGCTTGTACGAGTGCAGTGTATGATATCGACGTTAGATTTGGTATCGTGTAGTATATATAGTACAGTACACTGCAGTAAGTATACGAGCATGATAACTTGGGGGGTTTTTTTTTCTCCCATCCCATCTTATCCCCTCGCAATGTTTTTTTTTTTGTTTTCCGGATTGTTATGTCTACACTCGTACCATGGTAACTTACCATGCAGTGCATAGTCAAAACAGAATCACGAGGGAAAAAAAAACAAACCCTTCTTCATCCATCATCCACATTGGCCAGCCAGTCAGTCAGTCAGCGAGCGAGATGACAGATAATGAACATCCCGGCCAAGAACAATCCTCAATCGAACGGGGTGAATCCAAGTGTCACATCTGAGGAAAGAAAGAAAGATGAAAGGAAAAAATGAAAAAAAAAATGAAAAAAGAAGGCGCAAAAAATCTCATCACAATTGGAAAAAACCTCCGACCCCTCCCGAAGGTAAAATATAAAGTGCGGGTACAGTACAGTACAGCACAGTATATACCGTACTCGAGTATCATACGAAGAAGCCACAACACGACAAGACAAAACATCGCGCATCACACCATCCAGACAGAGCACTATACTTGTACTTGTATGATACTAATGATAGATAGGTGGGGGAAAGAGAGTGAGGGAGAGAGAGAGAGAGGAAGAACGGAAAAACCGAATAGCCCCACACACCAAATCTGAAACAGAAAGAAGGGTCCAAGCACCGCCAGATCTTTTCAACACGAACCTCGGCTCACTTTCCCCCCTCCCTCCAACTCATATCCCTAATACCGTACCAGATCTCCAGGAGGTGGGTGGGGAAGGTGGGGAAGGTGGGAAGTGTGGTGAAGGAGCCACAGAACCAAGTCTCACATGCCATCACTCGGCGGATATCGCATGGTCGAACCGGCGTGACGGAGGTTTGTCTGCAGGCCGGTCCTTACGAAAAGGGGAGGGCCGCGGAGGGGGGGGGGGGATGGGATGTGGTGGGATGCGATGGGATGCGGAGTGGATACAGTTTTACACACGTTACGGTACGAGATGGAGGGAGCTCATTCGTGCGCATCAAAGATCCAGAGTTGAAATTTGCTTTTCTTCCTGCGCTGTATGGTATTGTGTGAAACGGGCCGGGGGCTGGTGGGGACCGGATTGTGAGGGGAGGAGGGGTGAGGGATGGGAATTGCGCGGTAGGGTGATCAACGGTGATACCACTGTGCGTTCACGGTACCGTAGGCCACTTTGGCGCTGGCTTGGGTGACAGGGGAGGGGAGGGGGAACGTTTGGTCTATGCTTGAGCTCTAAATCATAATTATCCAGCTGTGCGAGTATCATAGAGGGCAGCGCTGGACTCCTCATCGGCAGCAGCTATCCATCCATATTCCTGCCAAACCTCAGAATGCGAGCGCTGGTCAACACCGCAATGGCCTCGCCATAGCCCGAGCTCTTCTCCTCCTTTCCGCCCCGTTTACCCCCCTCTGCCTTAAAGCCCGTGCTTTTGTCATACAAGTAACAGGTACCGGTACCGCCGGCCAATCCGAAGCAAGGACGGGTGAGAGGTGAGGAGTCTGCCCTCATATCACGCTCTAGTGTATATAATTCGCGGAAGGGTGATCCGCGTCGGCGGGCGCGTTTAGAACCCACCTGCTCAAGTACTGTACGAGTGTTTCCAGGACCAGGCCAGGGCGTGGACGTGGGTGTGCCCAGCAGGGAGCATGCACGGTACAATGATGGCCCTAAGCCAAACATGCAGAGAAACAAACGGACCAGTGAGGGCGTGCAGACGACCAGCACCATAGCTAATTGCGCACCCTAGAGGCCCATCGGACATGGGGTAGACAGAACCTACCCCGCGGTAGCTCACTGTACCGTACAGTGCAGTACACTATAATACTCGTAACACAGTACGAGTACCATCCTTGTTTTCTGGAAATGGATCTCACGGTGAAGCAATTGGTGCAGCAACGAATCCTCATACTCCCTTCATTCATTCCAATATTGTACGGTAGTCCAAGTAAAGTCCCATACTACTAGAATTCATTACATTTCCCATTCCATCCCATTCCTCACACCCTCCATCATCCTCCACAGCCTGGCAGGTCCCATTCCAACCAACCAAGCCTACCAACACACCAACAAGCCATTACCCCTCCACAAACTACCATGCCGTATGTAAAAGCCAATCACCACTTTTCCACCCGCACTATTCATAGCTATGATAAGTAAATTACATGAAAAGACCAACTTTTATACAAGCCAAGAAGCGAACGGATTGAAAAAAAATATCAAGCACCGAAAGATCAAGTATAACATAGCGAACCCCCCCCCAGACCGGTTTAACACAAATGAAAAGACATACAAGGGAATTGAAATGTGAAGAAAAGAACGGGACGGTTTTTTTTGATTTTCTTTTGAAAAAAAAAAAAAAAAAACACGAATCCTATGGAGCATCGATCAATCCGTAGTGCAGATCAAGGTGAGGTGAGGCAACTAAAGAGAGTCAAAGCAGCAACTGAGTAATTAGAAGAGGGAAGAAAAGAAGAAGAAAAAAATGCAAAAACGCCACCAGCCAGAGCAAACGGGGAAAGAGAAAAATGTAAGTAAAAGGGAAATCTCATTCCAGGAACGCATAACCGAGCGGAGGGTAGCAAGTAATCCGAGGTGCAGGCTGATTAAATCGATAGTGCCGGGCTTCCGTTTATTCGATTGGAGAGTAGCAGTAGACGAGCAAGTGTATAACGACAAAGCAACCGGGAACTCTGTTCGACAGGAGTGGCTTTAGAGTAGAGTGACTAGATAGTCTTGACTTTGTTTTCTTGCCTGGTGCTGTCGACGATGCCGCAGGCATCGGTGGGATTCCCCGATGGAACAAGGTAAAAAGGAAAAGAGAAAAACAGGCGATTTGCGTTCGTTCCGCACTCGCTCGCAAAATGAAGAAACAAAGAGGTGATTAAAAAAAACCCCCCCTACAAGCAGCGCACCCACCACCACGCCCCTCCTCCGTGCTCCCTGGCGGCCGAGTCCATCCGATACCACACCATCCATCTGTCCATCAATACAGTATATATGAACGTATATTGAGAAGGCAAGATTTTCTTCTGGTGGAGCTCTTTTTTCTTTCACTCTCTCTTGAAGGGTTTATTTCCTCCAACCAACATTCCAAAGAACGTGTGCAATGTCCCGAGCGGTATTGACTGCATCCACGGCCCTGCCAAATAGTCCAGCCGCAACCTCATCATCCTCGTCTTCCTCGTAAGTGTACTTTGGGAGCTCAAAGTCGTCAACGTGAGTATTGCCCACACGATCATCCGCCCGGCCAAATCGATCGTGTGCAGCGGCAATGCTGTCCCGTCGGGATTTAAATGCCCCTCCACTAGGCTCCCAGCCCAGCTCTGCCATGTCGTCGTCGTCGTCATCCTCCAGTATGTAAGACTTTGTCCCAACCAAGGATGATTGATCCAGGTCTTGGGGCTGAGTTGGGGCGGGTGTAGCAAACGAAGATAAGAAAGTGCCAATATTGTTGAAAGTGTCGTTTCTCTTGACAACTGGCTCCTCAATGTATTTTAGTGTGGTTGACGGTAGCATGGCAATTGTTTGGTGCTCGCCGGGGTTCGTTCGTGCAGTGCTTTTGATGGTAACCTTTGGCCTCGGCATCATGAGTAAGCCATCATCATCATCATCTGAAGAGCTATCCTCAAGGTTCTCCACCTGAAAGACTTCATCCTCTTCTTCATCTTCACCTTCATCCTCTTCATCGTCCTTATCCACCGCGATGCATTGTTGTACTTGGTCATTAAAATGTATATGTTTTGTATAGGATGGCGAAGGGCATCCAGTGGAAAGGGCCGAGGGCAATTCGCTAGTGTTAATAGCGCTTGTGGTTTTTGAAGCGTAGGACAAAGCGGCAAAGTCCGAATTCGCCCTTGCAACCATCGCCGGTCTAGAAGCTTTGCAATCCATCTCCATCTGCTGTGACTCAATGGCTGCAGCGGCTTGCTTGAGTAGACTCGAACTTGACAGCGACTTTTGAAGCATGACTTCAGACATACTTCGCTTCTTCAAAATAGGCTTCCTTACATAAAAAGAGCCCGAGCTGGGTATTCGTGGCTCGGTCGGCGATACGGTCGGCGACGATGGCGAGACCATCAAGGAGGCCTTCTGGTTACTCGTGGAGAGCGGGCCATAGAGCCATGTCACGTCACAGTCTTTCAACCTATTTTTCATTCAGCAAACCACTTCACAGAAGATCATGTCAGGGCGGCGATTTGGTTGTTACCAATTCAAAGTCTCTGGTGAAACCGTTTTTAACTTGAACTTTGCCTTCGTCCATGTCCGCCACGAAGCATTCTCCAAACGAGCCGCATTACTATAAACCTTTCTCTTTCCAACCATATACCGCCATGACGCCCAAATGTCCTCCTCCTTCCAATCATGCGACAGGTAATCCACGTGCCGTGACGGCTCGTGTCGGACAACGCTATCATCCGCCGGAACAAATATTATCTCGGGTATCTCGGGAATCATGGGCGGTGACGGACTCCGTGGCGAAGCACCAGGAACAGGCGTATTATAGTCCTCGGAAGCATAATCATACTCATCCGGGCAGTACGAGACGGTTGGCTGGTCGTAGACTGGAAAGAGGAATTGATCGTCATTATCTACCGGATTGGCATCAAGACAGACACTGCTTGCAACAGAAGAAGGAACGGAAGATTGACTCGCAATGCTCGAGAAAGGTGGCGACGACGAGATGGACGATGGGGGAGGAGAACCCTTGTGACTATCGTACGAATCGTACCCCGAGTTTGAGAGTGAATCAACATACGAACCTGTCGGCCCGGTATAGGCAGACTGAGGTGACCGACACCTGGGAGACGATCCAGGTTGATAGCAAACGTCCAGATGGACAGGTGCAGCCATAACCTCGGTCATGATTAATCTCTATCCTCCCGAGGGAACCGGTTGAACAGCCGGTAGGTGCTGGCGATGGTAGTGCAGGCCTATTGCCCAATGAAGTGCTATCAAAAGCCAGTATATAGTAGAGAGCGGGAGAGGAAAGATTCTGGAGAAAGAAGTGAGCGAGAAGTAAAATCTGCCGGTAGACTGCAGCTAGATAGTCTTATATGCACCCTCAATTCCCCTCGTTCGGTCGGCAGGGCGAAGCAGGGAAGGTTATCAGGGCGGCAGGTTGGGTAGTAGCGTCCGAGTATGATAGGCCGACGGCGATGGCGGTCGATTCGAGGGCGAGGGCAGTAGCACGAGGGGCGAAGAGGGAGGCACAAGTTTGTGTGATGAACTCCCCGGCGTTTAAGAAGGCAGGAAGGCCTGCCAAATGTTTCGAGAAGAAGCGACGGACGGACGAGAGAGGAAGGGTAAAGGGAGTGTTGCGTTCTCGTTGGGGGGGGGGGGCGAAGGGGGTGATGGGATGCTTAGACTAATGGTCGAGACTGCAGAGCACGCAAGGAGACCAGCGAAATAGCAGACGCAGCGGCCGTGGCATTACGTACGCACGCAAATACTGTGGGTAAAGGGACAGCGGTAGTCAAGAGGAGAGAGGTGCAAGCGGATGGACCAAGAACAAACACCGAGGAAGGCAGGTTGGATTTGCGAGGGGGAGCAGCCGAAGAAAAAGGGCCGGAAGGAAGGGGGGAAGGTTCGCTACAAGTAAGTACCCTTTTCTTCAGCGAGGAAGCAACCCGTACGTATGTATGTATGCATGTATGTATGTATGTATGCTGGGAGGGAGAAGGTGTGTGGTGGACGGTAGCACCGCAATGCTGGACTGGTAATGGTGGCAGGTGGTGGTGAGTAGGTTAGTGGGTACAGTACGATACGGTACCGTATGTATGGGAAGGAAGATGCAAAGGTGTAGGGCACGAGCTGGAACACAGGAGTGCAAGTGAGCGCCGAGCAAGAGCAGCACCGCAACAACCAACCAACCACACGCAAGACGGAGATCCAGAAAGAGGCAAGAAAGCGACCACCCCCAGCGAACAGGGGAGATTTTGGGTACTGACAGGGTTGTATTGGAAGAGGACTGGCCTTGTTCGCCAAGAAGAAAAGTACTCTACAGAAGAAGAAAAAAAAAAAAAAAGAGGGTACCGTATCCCAGGAGTGAAGCACGGTAGATGGATAACAGAAAAAAAGAAAGGATCAAGGAATAAAACTACCCCACCCATAGAAACTCAATTGATCCCGTTATCATGGCAAGTCGACTACGGTACTTGTACGGTACGGTGGGAGAGGACTCTTGTCCCCGGGGAGGAACTGAATTCAAAGGGCGTCCGGGAATGGTAGACTATCGTAGCGGAGGGGAGGGGTGAGGCTTTCACGTCAAACCAGGAATCCTCCATCGCCTCCACTGTTCTCCTCCTCTCTTTCTGCTCCTATTCCTAGCCATCCCCTCCTTCCATTACCGTATCTCACCCATCCCTACCGTAAACTACGAGTATGTCCCCTTGGGGATCCCAAAAATTCTACCCGTACCGTACCCTTCACCTTCCATTCCCTTTCCAAAAATTGGCCAAACCAGCCCAACACAGCTGGAACGAGGGAACCAAGGGGAGCGGGACCTGGAAAAGAGCGAGAGAGAGGGGGGGAGAGAGAGCATGGAGAAGGAAAGCCGGACTCGATTCGGCACGGCTCAATCTCTTCCATGATACGGTAATGGGATGCCTACCGTACTCTATCCCAGGAAGGTGGACAGGCATGATACCATCTACGCCGAACGGCAGGGAGCAAAAGCAAGGCACATCACACTACCGCGGCCTCGTAGCGATACAAATTGGACCCCCCAGTAGACTACCAGTACTCGAGTACATTTGTACCGGTAGCATGATATGACACCTCTACCGTACTGTACCGTACGGTGCTATAACCACCAGCTACGCCCTAGACATCGCGCTCTGCACTTTCCAGCGCCCAACCTATCCCGATTTTCTTTATCCATTATTCCTTAGGCTCTCCGCATCGAGACGGCGGTTCAATATTCCATTCAGCTCCTCTCCCCCTTCGAGAGTGTCCCCCCGATAGGAACCATTTTACCTATCAGCCTTGGCAATCCGTCCGGGGAATTCCCTTCCACCTCCTCTTCCTTGACCTCCGGCATGCGTGGCATGAAGCTCCTCAGGATTGAGAGGAAAAAAAAAATGCGAAGAGAGATGTGGATAGGATAGCCGGTTACGACACCGGTACTTATTGGCAGTTAGGCCGGCCGCTAGCCTAACACACCTTTTCTCCTACTTGTACCCTCACGCCCCACGTTCTCTCTTTTCTTTTCTTCAACCAACAAAACAACGGCAACAGCAGCAACAGCAGCAACAGCAGCGAGAACGTGGGGGATAGAGGAGGATACACAAGGCGGATGGATGCGTGGATGTATGGATGGATCGGATGGAGGGGGAAGGTCGGTGGGAAATGATTCCATCAAAAGGAATTCAAATCAAGACTCACCCAAACCCACCGGTCCTTGAGTATGATACTCGTACAGTACACTACGCCACGAGCAATAAAAGAAGATCAAATCAAAATCTGATCTCGCAACCTGCACCATCCCAACTACAATTTCTTGACCGCTAACTGCCCATACGAGTACAGTACAGTACCGTACTTTTTAACCCAACCGTGTAACAACGGTTATTCCCCACCGATCTCGGTAATCACATCTCGACGGGCCAGGAAAGGCTTCCGTAAGGATCAAGGAAACGGTTTTTTTTTCTCTTTTTTTTCTTTTTTCCTCTCTGCTTTTCTTCTCCTTTCGCTTTGCCCTTTGCTTGCCCCCGTCGACGACCACGGCTGCCTCCTGCCTTCATCCAATGAGACCACCACTCGCGAGATGCATTCCTTCGCACACCCCCTCCCCGTGAATTTTCCGAAAATCGCATGCCTGAGGCGATGCTTGGAACGCAAGCCCCTCAATTTCAAAGCACAACCACAGTGATCTGGTTGGTAGTGAATACAATCATAACTCCCAGCAGGGTGCATACATGTACGTAACCTGCGGGCTGTCCAAATTTTCCCTCTTCCTCTCACTTCTCTGCGTGCATCTGCTCGAGTAATTAGGTTCCGGGATGAATTGAATGATGGGACCTCCGTACTCGAGTACTGTAACCTACCGTAGATATACAATGTGCTTACCGGTCCTTCGATCCAGCCAAGCTAATCTCTCCAATTCTGATGCCGAGAGTGACAGCCCGAACCAGAAGGATTATCCCAACTCCGTGTTGAACTTGCTAAATGCGGGCAGGCATGACTCGTGGTTCTCTACGGGTACGGTACTCGTGCTCGCACATCGTACTCGAGTGCAGACGATAACCGCTGCACAGCATGATAAGAGTACCATGAGTATCGGTGTCATACTGCTACGCGGATGATTATTTATTTGTGCTTTATTTTCTCTCCATTTTTTATTTCACGTTTTTTACTTTTTTTTTTTTCCCCCCAGCTCCTTCCCTCCTTCACAATTCCTCCCTCCGTTCCTGCCGTTGAAAATTTTGCACAGGTGTCTCAGCCCCCGCGAATTCGTTTTACCGGTACTCAAGGACCCGGGGAATGAGAGGACAGTTTTCGATGGTTCCTAGACGCCACAGACACAGGCGCATGCACACATACGGTACACACACACACATGCGCGAGGATCACCGCGATCACCGTCACTTGTGGCTTTTCTGCTCTGGTGTAAAGATGCTTGGAGGTGTCCTTCCTTGTCTGCAGCAGGTACTCTTACGGTACTCCGCAAGGAATGGCAGGAGAGCCCCAAGAAATCAAGGACAGGTCTCAGTAGCCCAATCAGGTAGTCGGGTTACTCCAAAAAATAGCCACCGAGGACAACGTCACGTTTTGTTGAGAGCAACAGCTATCATACCGGTAGTTCAACAAAACCACGCCCAAAAGCCTCCCATGAGAGAGGGAGACGGGAAAGACGAAAAACTGGAGTTTGAATACCGGTAAGCTCACTATTATACGCTATCATACCGGTAGTCTTTGGGAAAGAGCGGAGCGGAGTGAGGTGGAAGTATGATGTGGTCCTCGCTCGCTCTTTGTCTCTTATCCCCCGCCCCCGGTAGTTTATCGCGCCGGCGTGGTCCAAACTCGAATATTCCGTGGGGCATGATACAGCAGCTGGCAGATAGGTAATTCGAGTTAGCTCAGGTTGGAATTCTGTTTCCTCGTCGTCCCCATCCATCCATCCTTCCCAGAAGGACAAACGGACAATGGCACGGAACCACACTACACCGCCGCACCTTATGCACTCTCTGCTTAAGCGACCAATGTTGACGCCACACTACACTCGCTAACCCGATAGCCTAGCCACTGCGCGCAAACGTTCGGCACACACCCACACAAACCCCCTCACACCCTTCGCGAGAAAAAAAAAAGAGAGAGAGAGAGAGAAAGAGCCGTTCCCAGTGCCTAGTCCCTTCCGCAGTTCAAGTCCTTATCAACCCTTCCCCCCCCCCCCCCCATTCGTACCCCCTCCTTCTCCGGCCCTCCCGCAGCAACGGGGCTGAATGCAGAATGAATCCCCTATCATTTCATTCGTCCATGACACAACCTCCCCTCCACTCCGTGATGGGGGGGGTATCATAGCGTAGGGGTATGATAGTGCGGTACCGGCACTCCGTCGGTGGGGGGATTGGATTGAATTGACCTCAATGCCAATGCAGGGGGGGGCAAGCTAGAAAGGAAATGATATCAAAATACCGCAATTGCGCCAAACCTCAGTTTTCTTTTTCTGCTGATCCATTCACCAGGCTATCATTAGGGTGGGAGGCTGGCAAGAAGCTATTTTTAATGTCTTTGCGATTGTGATGATTGCGAAATGCATACGCTGGCTCATTCTTTCTTCTTCTATTGCAATTGTGGCGCTTTTCGTTCTGGCCCCTCCGGTTGCGGATGGATAGCTGGTATAATATTCTACCGTATCATACGCACGAGTTTTCGTAATGGAAGATTGGAGATTGGGCCTTGACAGGCCAGCCGGGTGGGACTGTCGAGAGTCTGGAGGAGGAAATGATGATGACAACAGGTACGTCAGTGGAGTACCTTGGGGACAAAACTACCGAGTATAATAGGGGAGACTACTCGTATGAAAACCATAGTGGTAGGAAGGATACGGACGTAATGATCGCATCTCTCTGCTTCCCTTCTTGCTTCATTATCCCAGCGATAACACTGCACCCAATACCAATTGTTTTGCTTTGCTACCCGTGCGTACTCGAGTAGCTCCCAATCCAGGAGTGAAGTTGTATCATACAACACCGCGATAGCGCGAACCGGTAGAGCATAACTACATAGCCCGTTACCGCATATAACGCATACCACCACATGACATTGTGCGATAAGTTTATCGCGATCGCTCACTCGTCCGCGCGCCGATACCACCACCAAAACGCCATGTTCGAGCGCGCCCCATATTCCCACATACGATCCCATGATCCCCAGATCCGAAACGCAGAACACACAACGGCCCGTGTCCTTCCCGTACGATTTCTTTCTTTTTCTTCCCCCCCCCCCCCACCCCCTCTTTTTCTGCCCTGTTGGCACCTGCACTGCATAAAGACTACGATACCCGTGTCATACCTATAACAGACGTCGCTGGAGGAGCAAACGAACGACCGACCGGCCAACCGATATCATAGTCGCGGCATAACTCCCGGCGTTACGTATGTATAAAATAGTGAGTTGAACCCCGGTCTCGATGGTTCCGGATGGTCAATCCACACTCTCGCCGCCGCAGCCGCCGTTGAACCTCGGCGTGCTGTGGGGTAGCGGAATGGTGAACTCTTTGTGTGAGGAGGGAGTTCCAGAGCTTGACAAAGAGTCACGGTGAACGCCTGTATGATACGTACAGTACAGCACAGCACAGTAATGGTAGTGATATTCAGTGTCGAAGAGGTGGTATTTCAGCAATGAGTAATGAATGAAGGACTGGAGATTGCATATAGTTTGCTTTATGGCCAATTGCGTCTCTTTTTTAGGGTAGCATATCTGAATGCACAGAGATAAAGCAACTGAAGGCAAAGTGTAGAGGTGAAAATGGATCCCAGAGGTGTAGTCAAAGCTGAGAGTTTATTTTTATTTATTTTTGCCAGAGAAGACGGATCCGTTAATTGTCTTTTAAGTGCGCTATCCCTTGGGCGGTCCGATGCCGTCAAATTCATCGAGCACGCTAAGCCTAGGTTGGCACGATTCGAGCCTTAGGATTCCCCATGATAAGAACATTGATGCTGATCCCAGTGCTGAGTCATTGGTTTCACCAAAATTCCGAAGGGGTCTTGCTTTCTGAACCCAGTTCAGCTATCGTATACGAGTAGATACTATACGGTACTCGTGCTGGTAGTATGGTGGGTGGTTGCTGCTATGGACACCCTCTTGACCTTTCACATCCACGATACCGGTACGGGCATAACTTTAAGTACTGTGTAATAATTATGATACTAGTATTGCATCTGAAGACGATGAAGACGATAAGGATGATAATAATAGAGTCATACTGTACTAGTAGTAATCATAAGTTAAACAGATGGTTACGGAAGGTATGATACGATGAGTAGAGTTATTTCCTGTTTTTTATATTTTATTTTAACCCTGATCTCGCACAAGTATGATACCGGTTTGATACATATGATTACCGTATATACTTGTACCTGGCGGAGGGGAGGTGAGAAAAAGGGAAGAAAAACAGAATAATACAGTACTCGAGTACCGGTATTTCATCAGATTTTCACACACTCCCCCTCCCCCCCCCCCGGCCCCCCGGAAAAACCATTTTTCCATTTACCATGATAGAAGGTACCCTACTTGTATCATATCATATCATAGCGACGATAATTGTGATCGGATAAGCTGATAGGCTAAGCGGATGCTCGTCGGGGGGTCTGTCTCAATCAATCAATCAGCCAACCCGAGCTGTTGACATGATATGACAACCAACCCATCGGTATCGGAGCCGCAGTCAAGTCAAGTTACATACTCAAGCAGATTTATTTCATACCGTGGGGCAAGGTAGTCTAACCCCTCACCTTACGATATCAACAACATCATCGAATTTAACTTTTTTTTTTGTGGGAGTGGGGGAAAGCTGCAACAACAACCGTTATATAATTACCGTACAACTCTCACACGATAATGGCGGATACTGAAGGGGTACCCGTTGTTGCGCCGCCGCCTGAACCGCAGGCTAAGAGGGTGCTCTATTGTGCTAGTTGAGTTTCTCTCTCCTCACTTCTCTTTTTATTTTATTTTATTTGCTTCCGTTCGGGAGGGAGGGCTGGGATGATTTGCTCATGTGGTGTGTGGGTAGTTTGCACACTCCCGCCAGAGGTACGTTTTGTGATGGTTCTCCTCTGGGTGATGATGAAGGGTTGCTGACGTTGGATGGATGGACGGATGGGTGGGTGAATGGATAGTACTGCGAATTCGGCACAACCTCTAAGAAATGCCGTGAATGGTTGGAAATGAATCACTCAGAGTTGGTGCCTGTAATCTACAATACTGGTTCCTCCTCCCCGCATTCCCTGCATTCGCCCGCCCTGTTGCTTACGAAAAAAACAGAAGCCATAGAATCCGCCATGCAAAACCTCTCCACCGCCGCCCAAGAAAAGGCTCAAAAGGCCGAAGCCGCAATGGCCAAGAAGGCGCTCAAGGACGAAGCCAAGCAAGAGCGGGAGTTGGCGAAAAAGCTCTCCTCGCCCGTGATACTCAAGCGCGTGGAGCGAACCAAGCGTAAGCACGTCATCGTGATTACGGGGCTGGAGGCCTTTGGCCTCGACTTGAAGAAGGTGGCCAAGGAGATGGGGAAGAAGTTTGCTTGTGGAGCTAGCGTGACGAAGGGCGTTGGTGGCGGCGGGGATGAGATTGTGGTTCAAGGGGATCTGGGAGAGGAGATTCGAGAGTGGATCGAGGAGAGGTTTGAGGAGGTGCCTAGCGGGAATATGGAGGTTGTTGAGGAGAGGAGGAAGAAGAGGGAGGGGCAGTAGGACCGGACCAGAGGGGGTATATATGATACCCGGGAGTTTTCGAATTCCGAATTTTCCATCATTATTTTTGCCCCGATCTGCTGCTTTTCTGCGGAAAGCTGATACTTGTATCCATCAATCGATTGATACAGTAGCCCTATTTCTTGATCTTACAACTAACGCCCAAACTGGATCCGCTCTGACAGTCAGAATCCGCCCCCTCCAATCCCTCACTTGCATTGTGATAATCGACTCTGCGCCCCCCCCCCCTTTCCTCCGTAATCGGGAGAACCCCCCCAGAAAAGTGCCTCAAAGACTCTCACTTAATCCATCCCATCACAGCGCAATCCTATCATATACCACCCCAATAGGCATCCCAGCGAAACCCAAAAACCAACTTCCCCCCTCTCACATCACCCTCATCACACCCCATCACTCGCAACTGATTTCCCCCAGTGAGAAGAAATGAATAAATACACGGAGTAGTGTATAGAAACCTACAGCACAGTGCACACACTACCACCCTCAAGCCTTCACAACCGCACGCACAGTACTCCAGATATCTACCAGCATTACCCTACAACAAGCACGATAAGATGGCAACTCGATTTCGCTGGCCAAAACTGTTATCATACCAATCCTACCACCACCTCTTCTCCCCCTTCTTCTTCTTCTTCCCCTCCTTCTGTGATCCTGCACTGTATACATCCATATTACCATTCCGCACATTTACGATACCAACACCAACAATCCAAACCTATCCTTTCCCTCCCTCCCCCCAATATTTAAAGTGAGATTGCAACCCTGCCATCCTGTAAACTCTTATCTATAGTAAGTAACTTAGTCCGTAAACCATATGGGTGACATGTGAGACTGCGACGCACTTACTCAAGCATGAATTATCCCGGAACCGGCGTGCGTAAGCTCGAAGGATATATTATGAACTTGTAATCCCCGGCTCACTCGCTCGTTCACGTAATTTTGTTTGTTCTTATTCGGCACATATCATGCGGGATGTGGTGTTGGGGGCGGTTCTGGCGTAGTAAGGGGGGTATAAAGTGTTCCCTTTCCATGACCTTGAGCTTGGTTGGAGTTGTGGGTTGTTTGGTTGCAGATTGTTATTTTTTTTTTTTTTGTCCGCTGAGGGGGTTTGGCCAGTATCGATTGTACGGTGTTTATTGCAAAGGTGAGGTGATGTGGGTGTTGTTCCCTAGGAGTGCTAAGTCGGTCAGGTCATTCCCTCGGCGGGTGAGTACACACTGCTGGGTTGCGGCGATTCGAGCGGTACGTGGTATCATACGAGTACTGTGCGTGCACCTCTCTGAGTCTGGCGGAACTCGGCTTGTTGCGCTCTCGGTGGAATATTCACGCTTCCGGGAGCGCAAGCCTCCCGACCCTATAGACACCTCCACTAACGTCCCCCGTCCCGAGGAGGCTACGAAAGTGGTGGCTGCCCGTAATGTGTGACATCTCTCCTACCGGTGTCACACTATATATCTTGCCTACTTTCCCACCTCAGGTGCAGACTATGCTTCACTCCGAAATTCACAAGGTGGCATTGTTGGGGGAGAGCAGATCACAACCCCTCACTCCCTCCCTTCATCACAATGAAACAGGCGAACAATGGAACCTGAGATTTATCTATCTAAAGGAAAAACCCCGCCCGATATCCAGAAGCACAAAACGTAATATAGCGAAATATAGCAGAGCAAGAAAGAAAGAAACGCCCATCTAATAACAACCAACCGACCACCCACCAACGTACCACTAATGACTACCCAAAGTACTTCTTCATGCTCTCATACACCAAAAAAATCACCGCCGACGAAGGTGCACTCCTCATGCACGTCAATCCACACCCACGATACAGCCCTCTGATCCCGCTAGCACGGTACATTCCCATAGCAACCTGTACAAACCCCTTCCTGTCACCTCGGATCCCGATGGCTTCAGTTTGCATCCGGGACTTGACAGAGTCTGCGGGGAAGAATATGAAGTTGTAGCTTACGCCGGCTGTCTCCTTCCATCAGCTCATATTCTCCAGAGGAGGCCGCGGGTAGGAAAGAACAAACCAGCAGCTCCGGCAGCCATCATTTCCCCAGCAGTATTGCTGTTCCTACCCCGCCACTTCCTGAACACTTTGGAGATGTGCTCGTATAATCCGAACCATGCTGCCGAACCTCCAGTCTCTCGAAGGAAGGTACCAACGTGGCCGTGCCAGAGCCCCTTCAAGCCGTAGGCCCTGTGAACCTCACCGAGAAGGGTTACAGGTCCAGCTAATTTCGCCGGTGATATCGTGTGTATGCCTGCTGTTGAAGAGCCAGCACTGAATTGCGGGGAAGGGAGCATGCCGGGAATTGCCGGACGTGTAATGCCAACAGTTTGCACTTGCATCTTGCACTTTATGAGTTCGATGGGAGTGAGTATGAAAGATGTGAAAGCACCGCTAGCCGCACCGCAGAACGCCAACGCACCGACGGGGAGATCGTCTTCCTTCTCAAGGGATGGATAGAATGATTTCCGCACGAGGTTTTGGGCGATATTGTACTATTCCTCCCTCCCCCACCCTCTCCATTCAGCACACACACACGCCCATCACGAGAAGGGGTAGCAGCGGCGGGGGATAAACGAACACTAAAAAAAAGGGCTGAATTCTCCGCCGCAGCACCTATGAGCGGCGGTGAGATGCCGCGATATAACCCACGGAAAGCGTCCTGCTTGAAGCTCTGATTGAAGCAATCTAGAGGCCCGCGGTAACGCAATGGTTGGTCGTCCGGTTGAGATTGCAGTCTAACCTTGACGGTGTCGAAGGGGTATTCTATTATTTTTCCGATCATTCCGGCGAACTGTTCCGCTATTAGCCCTCTATCCACTTCTACCCTTCGAGGATAACGTAGTAGTAAACTGCGACTCACAGAACCAAACACAATATCCTTGACAGCTGCCAACCCTGCCGCCTCCTCCCCCTTTCGAGCAGTAACCGTGACAGCTCCAGCTTCCATGGCAAATTCTTGCGACATGACCGGGAGCAACAGGTAAAAAGTCCTTCAGCCTTTCGCACGATGAAATTCCGAAAAGAGAAAAGAAAGGTAAAGAAAAGAAAAAAAGCCGGCTATCCAAACAATGACATCTTAAAGTCAAGTTCGGAGAGGAAGAAAAGGGGAGAAAAGTCAGGGGAAAAGCCCAGGTCTTATACTGTATTCCAGTTTTCGCCGCACGCTCCTCTGAGGCCCTTGCCCTGGGATGCTTTTGGGAGGAGTAGCAGATGCACAAGGGAGAGAGTAAGCTGGTTTTCAGAGGCTGCAGTGCAATCAGCCCAACCCAAGACGCACCGTCTATTTGCATGTACCACTGACGGGAAACAAGGCTCCACCTCGAAGGGGGAAGGAACGATGGGTGTAGAGAATGGAAAAGAACAGGGCAGGGAGGAGATGGTTCAAGTTGCGGTACATACCGGTAAAGTAAGGTATTCGCGGTTGTTTGGGGGGGGAAGCGAGAAAAAAAAAACGGGGGGGATAATATTATTATGTTGGTACTTGCATCATAAAGTGTGGCATGATGGAGCCCCACTATTTGTTTCTCTATTGGGCACGAATTATCGTGCCCAAGATCGTTTATGATACAAGTACTGTACGCCAGACAAGTACCATTGGATGTGTGGTGTCGGACATCTAAAACCGACCCTGTTAGATTTGCTTAGTAATACAGACAAACATCTTTGTGCTGGCTGCTGGCTTAACAGTAAGTTTGTTTGTGGGACCCCCTACATCAGAATGCCCCATGCCCTTCTCAACGAATACTCGCTCAATAAAAGAAATTGGGGTGCTTATAATTTAAGAGGAGCTGATCTCTGAGCAGGTCCGTTGAGTTTGTTTCTCACAAAGCCTCACTGTTGTTGCGGAGTGCGTTGTTGATTTCTGCTCTGGAGGGGGTCGGTTTCAGACGCCCTGCACCGTACTGAGCGGTACGATACAAGTACTTGTACCAAAAGAGGGAGAGAAAAAAAAAAGGGTTGTGAACCTCCCACCAGTCGGATCGGCTACACCCAATACAGCAAAAATAAGATCCTAGCCTAGCCTAGCCTAGCCTAGCTCTGACTACTGGTACAAGTACTATACTCGAGTACAAGTACCGTACTCGTACTTGTTCCGACAGAGCTTTTCCCACCGCATCAGATAAAAGGGATTTTTTTCTTTCAAAGATCATTGATAAGATATACGTAATCGTATCAGATCAGATCGATCAGATAAAGCGAGCTAAACCACAACCGTATGGGAGAACAGAAAAACCCTCTATCATAGGATATATCCCCACGCAGCGGAACACAACGCATCCCCTCACTTCAAGAGACCCACAACTCATCCCATCGATCATGATCTCGGCACCCGAACCCCCCACCGCCACCGCGGCCATCTCCGGTGCTCGCAAAAACGGTACATGCCTCCTCTCCCTCCCCAACCAAAGTGACTGACAAAACTTACTGTCAGGCAAATCCTGGAAGCCCACAAAAACCGCCTTCCGCCCGAAAGCTGGCGCGAGCCGGTCCTGGGAGGCCCGCCTGGAGCAGCGCAAGGCTCTGGCCGCAACAAAATTGCGTGAGAAGGAGATGAAGGAGGAGAAGGAGGCCGCGAGGCAGGAGCGCAACCGCGTGCTCAAGGAGCGCAGGGAGGCAAAGGTGGAGAAGGAGCGCTACGAGCAGCTCGCAGAGAAGATGCACGCCAAGCGTGTCGAGAGGATTAGGCGCAGGGAGAGGAGGAACAAGGCGCTGAAGGAGCGGTGAGCTAGGTCGGGCGGGGAGGGGAAGAAGGGGGGGGGGTGGGGGAGGTGTGTACGATAATGAGCGGTGTGATGCCGGGACCGTAGTGGGGAACAAAAGTTTTTAGTTTCGTCTTTCCTCTTTTGATCCATACGTATCGTATGGCATGACAAAAATTGGTTCCATAATATTATATATCCTACTCAGATTTTTTCCTATGACGTGAGAAACGGCCCTTTCTTGCGGGGGACGAAACTTATCAAGCCCAACACATGTACAGTACCCTATCTATTACCCCAACACTCACCGCTCAAGTCACTCTTGGGAGCACGATGCAGTACATAATCGAACCGCTGAAACCATAGTACCGGTAGTCCGTTTACAAAACCCGCCCGGATATCATTTCCCCCCTAAAGAAAGCACAATCAACATTCAACCTCGGGGACACAAATTTTGGCACGCATGGAAAGTAGATATTATGATTACAGAGGTCCAAGTACAGGCTGTGGGAAACCGGCAAGAGACCCAATCACTCATATCCATCGACTAACGACCAGCTGCCAATCACAAACACAAAAAAATAACGAGGGAAAAGAAGAAACAGAATGCCAAGTATAAATGTCGCGTGTAAGAACGGTTTTCTCCAGAGGGCCAGTCAACCTTTTAATGATATGCCCGCCCCAGCTCTATAGAATGAATATTAAGCAAAACCCGCAACGAACCAAACTGTTTCCTTCACTCAACCGACCACCCTTCCGCTTGTGGCCGGAACACTTCCGTCCCTTGTCTCAGTCTTCCTCAAGGTCCTACCCAACGAAATCTCGCTCAATAAGGAACCAACATCTACCTTGATCGATGGCGCAGCTACTGGGGCGGAAGACCCGGATGGCATTGGTGGTGCGGGTGGGGGTGGGGGTGGGGGTGGTGGAGGCGGAGCTCCTACTGCTGAAGGGCTAATTGGCTGCTCAGTATCCTTGTTGCCCATACTAGACAAAGGTCTAGGGGGAGCCATGGTTGAGAAGAGCATCTCAGCTAGAGCCCTTGTGCCCTGGCGATTCGGAGGATCGTCATCGTCGTCACTCGAACTCTCATCTTCATCCACGACACTCCAGTCATCCTCCTCAGGTTGGCGGCGCGAAAACTTCCTTGGGGAAGGCTCAGCAGTTTGATCGGGGTTCAACTTATAGAATGGGTTCTTGCTAGGAACAGCACCAGAACTAGATGGGGCAGAGGGAGCAGCACTAGCTGTACTAGCGGGGGCTGCGGGAGATAAGGCTGGTGCGTCGCCGTTCGCTCCAAGATGCTTAAGGAACGGGTTATTGCTTGGGTTATTGGTGTCAGCGCCAACCGGGGTTGGAGAAGCAACTGAAGGAATAGCAGTGGTAGGCGGCGAAGGTGCCTTAATGGTTGGGGGAAGGGGAGGAGCTGGTGGGGGTGGAGGAGGCGGAGGCGGGGGAGGAGAGGCAGCGGTTGAGGATGATGAAGGGACAGCTACGAATTGCTCCTCGCTCACCGATTCTTTAGTTGGTGTCACACCCCCCAACTCCTCCGGCCCCTCCTCATCCGAGGACGAATCCTCAAGCTCCATCTGGAGACGCTTGAGACGTCTTGATAAGCTTATTAGTCTGGTGCAACGATCAATCGTGTTAGGGATTCGAAAACTCACTCCTCTTCCTCCTTAGCCTTCTCAATCTCCGCGCGCATAGCTGCAAGTCTAGCTTCCTTCTCTTTAGTAGCCTGAAGCGCCGCCTGCCTCTTCTTCTTCTCCTCTTGCTTCTGCAACTTTCCTTGCTTCACTTTATCTTCAAGGGCTTGAAGGCGAGCTCTGGCCGCCTCCTGTTCCCTCAAAAGCGCTTCCTCTTCTGCTCTTGATTCCTCTCTATAAAGCATCATTAGAGATCACTCGACCAAAATCAATACCACTCGGAAACTTACTCCTTCTGCTCAATTCTAGCTCTTTGGGCCGCCTGTTCTTGCTTGAGAGCCTGCTCTTCTGCTGCCCTAAGGCTCTCCTCGGCCTTTCTAGCCTGTTCCTCTGCCCTAGCCTTCGCTTGGTTATCGTCTTTGGCTCTACGAGGCGCGGGTGGAGGGGGTTTCTTCGAGGCGACGGGAGAGGGCGGCTTTGGTTGCTCGTCGGCAAGTCTCTGTTGTAGGTTGCGCTCGCGCATGGCTTCCTCCTCTTCGGCCTTCCGAAGGCGTTCCTCCCTCTCCTTTCTCTCGCGCTCTGCACGCTGTTGCGCAGTTTCGCCAATGTTCGAGCGCGCTGGTGGCTTGATCCCAAGCGCAGCTAAACGTTCGGCCATCTTCTGCTCGGCTTGTTGCTTAATGAAAGCCGCCCGCTCTTCAGTAGTCTTGAAGCTTGAATAGGAGGAACCAGATGGTGTGGCGGTACGCGAGGGGGGTGCAAGAGCCGGAGATGCAGTCTGGCGGGGCGGTTCTTCGATGGACTTCGGTGCACTGGAACCGGAGCGTTCGTCGCGACGGCGATAATCCCTATCACTATTTAGAGCATTAGTAACAATTGAGAGAATGCTGGCACAGCACCGACGTACTCTTCCCGTCTCAACCTGGCAGAGTGAGACTGGCGTTGGAGGTCAAAAATGAATTCCTTGACTTCATCCTCAACACCCAGGGCCTCTTCCCATCTTCTCCTCTCGGAATCCGACATACCGCCGCTCTCACCGGGAGCGAGTTTGAGAGAATCTTCCAATGATTTCCGGAACTCGGTAACACTATCTTCTACATCACGCGTCATTCTATCATTAGATTCCTGTTCAGATTTGATCTTCTGAGTCTCTTCCGCCAATCTTCTCGAGGCAGCCTCATCGTCATCACCAATTGAGACAGCCGGCTTTCCAGTCAATGCGGCAAGTCTCTGTTGCATCATAGCCTTGGACCGGGCCTTAATGCGGTCAGATTCAGTGATGGCTCCTCCAGGACCGGTTCCAATAACCACAGACGCGGATCCCGGATGAGCTTTGGCATCCCGCAGTCTGAAAAGCGAGAGCTTAGCGTCTGCGATGCTTCTCTCAGTCTTCCGAACTTTGGAGGCAAGATCAGGCAATCTGTCTGCCAAATTTTGTAATTGTCTCCTCAACTGCCTTCTTTCCGCTTCTGGGTCTGTACCTCCGATGGCAGCGTTGGGGTTTGCATCGATATCTTCCTGTACTCGTCTGATCCTCCTGTAGAGGTCGTCGGCATCACGGCGGTCACGCCTATCAAGAATGTCATCATTTTCCGCCTCGTCTTCGTCCTTGATATCAATAGCATTCAGTAGAATCTCCTTTTCTCGGATCTTCTTACGAAGTTGATCGAGCGTCATCTCCGGCCCAGGCGATGGCGATGGAGACCCACCGACAGCCGGCGAAGGAGATCTTGTACCCTTAGCTCGATGTCTAGCACTAGACTTATAGCCAACTTGATTGTCATCAAATCTATATACCGTCCCATCTTTCCTTTCCTGGGTTGTCGCCGTATCATGGAAAGATCGACTCTTCAAGTAACTAACACCAGTGGCTTGAGGTTGGAGAGCAGAAGCTTTACGCCCTTCTTGCAAAAACGACTTTACAGTGCTCAAGGACTCGGAGAACTTCTTGGTTGAAGGAGGGATCAACTCTGGTGGAAGGCGTGTGGGAATTTCATACCCATTAAGTTTACGGAAGATCTTTGGGCAATTAGCAGTCTTCCGATCACGCCTGAAGGAAACAGACTTACCAAATGCATCGCAACCGCGAATTCATCCTTGTTCAAACTTCCTTTGTTACCCGAATCTGCTAAGGTCCATATCTGCATCAAATCATCCTTTGGCAATCCGCTTTGTCCAAAAACCTCAATAGCAGTATCACCACTAATCAGACCCCTCTTAAGCCCATCCCAGCCCTCAAATACCTGATCGTACTTCTGCTTCTCAACCTTAGTGATAGACCATGGGATTACAGCATTTCCTTGCAACCCTTGGGTACTAAAGCCTCCTTCCCGTCCGGGTTGTGGCATCATTCGCTCTTGCAGAGCATCAATACCCTGAAGTACAGATGCCGGAGTGTTGACGAAACCCCATTGACCTGGCCGCCCCGTGGGTTGCGCCTGCAAGGGGTTCATTCCACCGGGCATCAATGATGACACACCGGTCGGTATCGGGGGCACAGGCGGGATTGTGCTGCCATAGCCACCAGACCCCTGGCCATATCCCGTGGTCTGAGGAGCTACCCCAGTCTGCTGTGGTTGGAAACCGGTGAACTGGGGCTGCATGGTAGGGAATCCTGTCCGCTGAGTCTGAAGTCCCTGAATTCCGGTTTGTTGGGGTTGGAATCCCGTTGGCTGAGCCATCATACCGAGCAACTGAGAGTTACTCGGCTGGGGCTGTCCTGTAGGCTGCGGGGGCGAGATTGTGGTTTGGGGGGTCTGAGATGGCGCGCTGCTAACTTCAAAACTGGGGATATTCGTCCGTTGAGCCGTTGGCGGAGCGGAGTCAGGCACACCAAAGGAAATGATATCCACCATGCTCGAGACCTCATTCCTAACCACTTCAGGCAGTGTTGGCGGCAAGCTCTTTCCTCCACGTTTGAGATTGCAAAGGTACATAGCTAGAGCAAACTCGGGGAATAGCAGTTGCCCGGACTTGGTAGTATCGGCAAGTTGCCTAGATGAAATTTAGCGCAGCATATACTCATTTTCAAGAGAGGTTACGAACCATATTTGGTGGAGATCGGGTGGAGAAAGTTGAGACCTTAAAAGGATGTCCCTTGCCTTGTCACCTAGTCGCTTGTCAAAAACCATAATGGACAATGTAAAGCCTTTCAAACCCCACACTCACCCGATAAAGCCTGGCCCTCTCCAACAGCCGCCTTGAAAAGTTGTTCAAATTTGGCCTGGTCGGCAGCGGTAATGAACGAAAGCCGAATAGTAGGGATCTTTGCTTGACTTTTCGTCTTCTTATGTTGCTGTGGTTGTTGTTGCTGCTGTTGCTGTTGAGGGGGTGGCGAAAAGGTCTGTTGAGATTGCGGAGAGAAGGATGAGAGTCCAGTAGGGAGTGGAGGAACCGGCGGAATCCCTTGTTGGCTCGGATACCCTTGAAGCCCACCCTGCTGTCCCGTAGCTTGGTATTGCATAGGCATCTGCTGCTGTTGCTGGAATTGTTGCGGTTGCGGCTGTTGAAACTGCTGATGCTGAAGTTGTTGACCGGGAAAGCCAGTCTGTTGATACGACATATATCCCGTAGGTTGAGAGGGCATAGCACCTAGAGTTTGCTGCTGCTGCCCAGGATATCCAGTCTGTTGCGGCTGCATTTGTTGCTGCTGCTGCTGCTGCTGTTGTTGCGGTTGTCCAACCTGCTGAACGCCTGGCCTCGTGGACGCCAGGAAAGTAGCCGCATTGTACATTGTGGGGGATTAGGTTTCAGTAGCCTGTAATTATTCCTCCAGATGAAGTGGAGATAGATTATGGGGAGGTGGGGGTGAACAGCAGTGGTTCGCTCTCGCTGGGTGGTTGTTGATCGGGAGGAGAAGTGGAATAGGAGAGGTGACGAAGCATAAGCAGGCTGATTCCACCCATCCACGTCCCAGTATTGTATGGGGGCCAATCGCCGCTACGGCAACGCAATGCCCGAACCGTATACACGTTACGGTATTCTATTTAAGGATGGTGAGTGGAAATGTCCCTGACAACCTTTTCGCTCATAAACGCGAGGAATGTAATTGCGATAAGCTTCACGAGTACCGTGGCCTCTATAATACTTTAAAAATTGACATCCCATATTTTCACCGCCGATCGTTATGGTATCACAGAAGCGCACCGGTATTATATATGAATTAAAGCCTTCCTGTGCGAGGTATGAACTGCCTGCCGTTGATCGCATCCAACGGAATCCTGTGACCCCTGGAGTGCCTCTTGCTACCGAGATCGGGGTCACGGCACGAGCGTTATTGAGGTCACGGGGTCAAAGGCACCCAAGTATGATATGATGAGCCCACTGTACTGTACTGTACTCTACTGTACTCGTACAGTATTATACGAGCACAACACTCGAGTACCGGCGATCTGTACTCAGGACCTCACCCCCGGGCCGAAAATGACGATAGCATCGCCACTTGGGGGGAAGACCGATCTCCTCCTCGGGGTCGTGCTTGTATCATAGCATAAAGTCTACGGTACCGTACGGCCTAGATCACCGCCATTAAGTGACCGAAGCCATACCTTTGTAAGCTGGGCCTTTGAGGATCGGACAAAATACCCTCTACGGTGCCCGAGTATTATAGATTCACTGAAGGGTCGTGAGATTCGAGGGCGACCCGAGGGATTTTCTCGATTAATAGAGGCCAGTCGATCAGACAAGCCCGCAGCTCAGAGCCACAATAAGCCCAATCACCCCCCCTCACTCACTTCCCCACCAATCCTAAAACCACACAATTAAGATCACAATCTCGAGCACCAAACAATCAATCCATCGGGAACTTTTTATCTTCTAAACTTTAAAGAATTTTACCACCAGCGTATCCCCACCCGCCTTCATCTATTCATCCACCCCAACCCAATCACCGGATAGCGAGAAAGACCAAGAAAGAGAGTAGGGGTTAACAATACGGTAACCACGATGGTCCGTGCCGTCACCAGCACTAACTTTATATCATAAAAGTGAAAAAAGAAAGAGGGAACTATATCCCACCAGCACATCGATAATGAAATGAATCAAGTTATCATAAGACATGTACACTAGAAACGAAAAAAGGAAAGAACGGAAAATAATAGTAGGGAAAAAGGAGGGGATAGTATGGTAAAAGTAAAGGAAAGAGAAGAAAAGAAAAGAGAAAAGAAAAAAAGAAAAGAAGGAAGACTGAGAATTCCCTCACCATTCCTACTTACTCCATTCCTGTTTTTTTCTCGCTTGAAAAGAAAGAGGTTTTTTCCACTTTCGCGCTCATGTGCAGACATCATATATCATTACAGCCTCCCAAGTACATAATACCCCCCCCCCCGATTTTTTCTCCCCCGCTTCCAACCGCCGCCACCGCAAGCGCCACCCACAGATCATGTAGCAACGAAGAAAATAAAACGAAAAAAAGAAAAAAGAAGATTTATCTCGGATACGGATATGGCTCTATTGTAGTTAATACTGTCGTCTCGGACGCTGTGGGACGGAACGATGATGACTGGCAGACTCACGATTATTCGCCTGCACATCCCTAGGCAAATTAATATTGCCCAGAAGCCCAACCATGGCTTCCGGTCTAAATCTTGCCGCTTGGTACTTGTCCGCGCCTGGTAGAATACTCAAAAGATACATGATAAGGTCGGGGAGCTGGGTTGGGGCGGGCGGCTGGTGCATTTGCATCTGCTGGGGTTGGTGTTGTTGAGGCTGCCTCTGGTTTTGCTGATACCCTCCGCGTCCGGGCCCTCTGTGCATACCATCGTCCCGATCGGGGATATTGCGATCACGGCTCTGCATCATCTGTTGCTGTTGCTGCTGGGCACGTTTCTGTTGATCCAGCCTTCGACCTGCGGCACCTTTCAATGGAGAGTCAGGCCGATGGAGCTTTCTGGGCCTCTGGTGTTCGGAAGAGTCTGAGAGTTCTTCATTCGCAGGCCGTTTCGGTGAACTTGTTCGGCCGTTGGCTGGGGCAGTCGGAGGAGCCTGAGGATGGTCCCGGTAGTCGCGGCCGTCCCGAGGGTGGTCGGGTGCCGGTGGAGATATGGCCTGCGATTTAGGCTTGCATTGCTGTGCCGGGGAGACAACGGCAAGGAACGAGCAAGGATCAACGGCTTTATAGGCATATCTGCTCGAGAATCGAGTGATGTATGGATCTAGGATATCGGTCAGTAATGCTCTCACGAACCCTGATAGGAATTTTGACAAACCAGTAGGATAGAGTTCGCTCATGCGTTTCTCCATCTTGTAAACCTGGCCAAGCTCTCCATAGTGAGCTTCGTAGTCGTAAAAGAATTCATACACCTTTCGAGCCTTTTCGGCCGTCACTCTGCCAACAAAAGTCTCAAACACGGCTCTTGCATCTAAGAACAGTTAGGATAGGGAACGCTTAGTATCCGTGTATGGACTGAGACTCACTAGTAATATCGTTAATAGCGACCAAGTGCTTCAAGTACTCCAGCGCAAAATTCTCATCTTCGGGAAAAAGCCTCATCCCCCTCTCAAAGATTTTCAAAGCAGCAGGATCTTTGTAGCAGTGGTATTCAATCAGTGCACTTGCTACATACACATCGCTATTAATCTTGCCCCTCCTCCTTGCGTCCGCAAATATCTGACGACTTCCACCTAGTGCCTCATTCACTTTGCCATGGCCCTGAACGCGTCGCATGGCGCGCATCAGGTTGATCCATACAGCTGAGATGGTCTTTGTCATTACCTGAAGCTGCGCCTTTGTGCCCTCCCTCAATGCCGCAACTTGAGTATCCTTAGCTGCCCTATTTGCAGCCGTACTGGGGTCATCATCCTCGTCGTCATCCTCCGCATTACGAGGGTTGGTTAATTCGAAGGCGTCTTCAATCCGAGCGAGCTCTTCCTTCTCCTTTCGCTGAATCTTCTGGACCTGCTCGTATAACATGTTGAGCAAATCATCGTAAGGCTTTCTAATCAATTGACCCTTTCGTATAAGCGCCTCCTCCCCACCCTCAATGATGGTGGTTGCTTCCAATCTCTCAGCGTACTTGAAGTGTAGAAGGCAACTCTCCGGGTTCGCAGCCATTCCCTGGTTGAGGAAATCTATTCCTTGGTCATCCATTCCATTCGCGAAGCACCACTCTGCGGCATCAAACCAGATTTCCGGCCAAAACCTCAAAGCCATAAGAGCTTGTTTAAAGACATATATAATCCTTGTACTCAGGCTTGCGGGATCTTCTTTGGCAAGAACGAGGGGATCGCCCTTTTCCCACTGGATCCACTTCTTCCACAGCTCAACCTGCTTGGTGTAATCCTCGTAACCTTCATATCCTGGCGCAGGCGGCAAACGGGGCAATTTATCACGCCTAAGGCCCTTAGTGATGTTGGATAACTCGATAAGACAACCTCTGGCAGTCATAAACATTGGGGAGCGTTCTTGAAGAAATTTTCTCGCCTTTATCATTTACAAAATCCCAACGTTAGCGCACCAGGAATCAGATTGTTCCCGTGGGGGGCTCAAATACCGTTAACTTGTTCAAACCTTGTTCGAACTGATCATACTCCCTCCATAGCTGCTCGACGCCTTGAATGGGCATGGTAACGGCTTTCTGGTATACCTTCCGCAAGGAGTCCATCTTCTGTTGGTCTTGCCAGCCACTGCCACCTACATTTCCGGGCGCACTCTTCACAAAGTGGATGTATTCGGTCCAAATCCTGCCGGCTTCCCTGTCACATCCGACATTGTTCAATACAAATTCATAAGATTGGTTAACAACCGCCCGGGCTTTCCCTCCGGTATCTGTGGTCAGATTATTCCGGCGGCGGATATAATCCAGGTACATGGACCAAAGCTCAACATTGGGGACATTAAACAAAGATCTCTGGAAGATGCGCTCAACATGTTGCAACTCGTTGTTTGCCAGTTCCATCTTAACGTAGGAGATCCATTGGTCGGCCTGTATTAAAACAAAAGTGATAAAGTTAGCAAGCGATTTCGCACATCACAAGCTTCCACATATCACCGGTACATGGATGCACGAAAGATGAACTGGGCATAGCGGAAACACCTACCGCAGCTGGAAATACTACAAAGAACCTCTCGTAAACAGCTCTAACATCGTCAAATTTGCCCTTTTTCCTATGTTCTTCAATTAAAGCCAACCAAGCATCAATGTCTCCTCTAGGATCCTCGGCAATCCTATCCTCAAGCTGTCCTACAATGTCCTGTGGAAGCCTCTTCCTCTTATTGGCAATGCTCGCATTCCCCTTGTGAACCGGGCTTTGAACAGGTACAACAGCAGAAGGGGCATTGACAGGAGCAGGGGTGGCGAACGACACAGGAAAGGAATCATTATTATTAGAACCAACAGTGGGAGTGGTAACGGATAGTGAGTGCGGAGCAGAATCATTATTATTCTCAGCAGGGACAGGAGCACCAGCGGGAGTAACAGAAGGGGAGGAAATTGCGGACGATTCTTGCGTGTTTGGACCAGCGCCCATGTTTGCATTCAGGAGAGGTTGGGTGGCAGAATCACCCATTGCCGAGCCGTTGACGCTCGAGGGGCCGTCGTCGGGACTTGCAACAGCAACACCTAGGGGAAGAGATGTAGCACCAGCAGCAGCAGTCGAAGTGTCTTTCGACTCGTTACTTTGTAAATGATTGTCTTCTTCAACTTGATCAGATAGTTCCCTAAAAGTAGCCTCTTGTCCCGCTCCCTCTCCCGGCCCATCGCCGGTCGGCTCAGATTCCTCCCTGAGCTCGCTGGCTTTCTGCCCGGCTTCAGCCATCTCCTGCTCGGCTTTGAGCGCGTTGAGAAACGCGGCATCAGCGTCATCCGAGTTATTATGTTCCGCCATGGCCAACAATCAAAGAAAGAAAGGAAAAGAGAAAAGGAAAAAGAAAAAAAACCCTTCGCGAGTAAAGAGAAATCGTAACCTGATCTTGGTTAGCGGGATGGAAAGGTAATGGATATCGATGTTGGGCGACGAAGTTGAGAGAGTGTGATGGTTATGAGGGAACGCAAAAGCTGATAGGAAAATTCGGGGGCTGCGATGAAATAGGATGCGATTGACGCGTGATGTCAGTTGAAACGTGCCACCCCACCCCCAAAAGATTCTTGTCTCCTCCCAAAAGTGCCGAGAGAGCGAGGCCAGCTTACCTGTACAATGGGTATGTGTAGGAGACGGACTGAGCCCGCAGAACCGATGAAATCGATGGGTAATAGTTGAGGGTGGAAATGGCAATGGAGGTTTGTGGATGGTTGTGGAGGGGGCGGAAGAGAGGACTGAAAGGAGAGGGAACAAGGTAAGGGAATAAGTTACGGCAGCGTGCAAGTACTGTACTGTACGAGTACGGGTGGGCCAAAGGGTGGTTTGAGGCTTTTGGCGCGCCAAGAGTTTTCAATCCAAGGCGCTATGATTGCTCCCCGAGAGAGCAAACGACCGGAACTTCTGCCTCCAACCCTCAGCAGAGTCCAGGAGGAGAAAGAGGTTATACAGATAGGAAAAACCGATGGGATGATCAATTGCCGGTATACCACTCGTACATGCTCACTCTAATTATATACAAGTAAGTTATGCTGATACCAGTGCCCGAGCCGCAGCGCATACCGAAAGAGTATTCATTTTTAGCACAAGCATGCTTCGACCCGATCTTACTGGCACAATGAGGAGCCAACCCGTCTGCCGAATGCGGTAACAAACTCAGGAACATCTCCAACAAACACGCCCAATACCGTAGTGTAGAGTTCGTCCTCCAGCGCACTCTGGATATTCCGGGCCAATTGTCGCACGAGTGCGGTATCATTATCTCTCCGGTTGTGACTGATACAAAGTAACCCACTCGTATCATGTCACCGTCGTACACAAGTGAAGAAAATAGTGGGACAGGCAGCATTACACACCAAAAATATGGAGCTTGCCCACATTGATACCAACCAGGAATTTTTTGACATTGATGTGGGAATAATTTCATACACTGGTCCTATTGCCACTTCTCCCCTTTCTCCTCTCATTTTGGGAATCTGGATATCATTTCTACTCTACTGGTTAATTCATGTGGGATGCCAACTTGGGAATCTTCCTGTTGCCACACAAAAAAATAAAGATGACTTCCCGAGTGGTGTTGTGAAGGTAATCTCAATTCCAGCAGCTAGAGATTGAGACTTATTTGACAAGGACCTTCTAGGGTCTATGTGGGTGACTCCCAGAACTAATTAGAGCTATCTATCCAGCGACCTGGGGCTTAAATTTTTTTTTTGGCATTTTGTAATTACCTCGAATACCACTGTTTTTTGGTGGGAGAGTGCCGTTGTCTCTCACAATTTCATTGTTCGTGTGTCGTGGCACGGTGTCCCTCATGCAGAGGCCGGTATTCTTGGTGGTTTGTCCGGGACGTCATATAATACCGGTATGTGCAGTAAGAAACCCGGATACTCTTGCCTAAAGTGCTACACGGCCGCCGTCGTCTCATTGGACAGCAATCAGGAGATCTAAAGGATGTACTCGTAAATGTTTTTATTTCGGCTCAAGACTGTGAGTAGTGATACATATAATACAAGTAGGATGCGAAAACATTGGTATCAGTAACAACAAGACTACTCAAGTAAATGACTACCGAATAGACTAGTAACGGAGAGAGCCATCCTGTAGACCCGGTAACATTATTTCTAAGCGTTTCGTGGCTAAAGCATCTTCTGCCTTTAATGCAAGTAGATACGCCTTCTGATCAGACGACCATTACGATACCCCTAGGAGGGTATCCCAGTGTCGTGCCTGTCGTGGCAGTTATCACAAGAAATTTTGGTGCCGGAATCCTTGATGTTTGGGTATTTCTCTGCCCTCCTCTTCATTGATATTGCCCTCTCCCTCGTTGGAGTTTCTCGGGTAGGGATAGCACCTCCTGGACCTCTTGGCCAACAGTGGCCTTCCGTGATTGAGTCTCCGTCTCCTGTTGGGCTGGTAGGCTTCATTAAGGGAACTGCGGGGACCAAGGTAGTTCCTCGCAAAACGTTGAGTAGACGGCCCGCCCTGATCCATGTCATAGTCCTCATCGCCCCGCGTGAACATAACAACTCTCCTCTTGGGATGCCTATTCTCGTCCGCGTCACCTCTCCCCGCTGCCACCGCTTCCTGCCGAGCCCCCAGCGCCGTGGCCTGCTTGCTATGAGTCCTCTTATGCCCTGAGGCACCTGTATTGCTCGCCGGCTTCGGCTGGGGTAGCATAACCGGGGTGTTTTGAGGGGGCCTACATCTGATGGCGACAGGGGGCGATAGCACCCTCACTTGGCCCAACGGGGTGAGCTCTCCAGACTCTAATATCTCGATCTTAACTTTCGGATAGTCCTTATACCCGACCTCTATCTTTCCTATTTCCTCGATGATCTCCATCCCGTCAATCACGTGGCCGAAGACTGTGTAGAGGTTGGTGAGGTAATGAGCGGGTGAGAGAGTTATGAAGAATCTGTATTGGTTAGTGGTAGCAATTTGCCCTCAGGGAGAGGGGAAAAGGGTGCGTACTGGCTTGTATTGCTTTTGCTCCCGCCACGGTTAGCCATGCAGAGCAACCCCGCCGAGTCTATCTGCCTCCACCCCAGGTTTTCCTGGTCGAATCCCTGAGAGTCAAACGTCTCAGTACCATTCGCGTATATACTCGCGCCACCCGTACCATCCCCTTTGGTAATATCTCCAGCTTGAATAATGAACTCCTTGATAATGGAGTGAACCCTGGTCCCACGGTAATGGAGTTTATCGATGGTGCCGCACGGGCGTGTTACCCTTCCAGCCATTCCCGTGCACAAAACTCGAAAACTTGACGGGGGGTGCGAGCATAGTCAGAAAACTGCACAAACCACGCTTCACGGAGAGGGAGGAGGGGGGGGAAACCATACTTTTTGCAAGTGATAGGAACCTGATCGTTATACAACTCAAACACAACCATGCCGACTTTGAAGTTGTTGACTTGAATGAGGAAAAAGGTCCTGTCCCTCACTGGCGGTTGTGGTCCTGTGCCTGCCGCGGGGACTTTCCTATCTTGGTGAATACCTTCCATAGCTACCGTTTTCCGCCGAGATATTGTAAACCACTCAGGATACTGGCCGTTGTTGCGGTTGTCTAGGGAAAGCTATGAAACCTTTGTGCATGCGATCCTATGTGGGGTGGGAGAAAGGAACCATTTGGTTGGTTGAGGATCTATGATACTATTGTCTATCATACCGGGAAAAAAAGGCCGCTACTAGGGTTACGGGCAGCGACCTGACTTTGCCTATCGCCAGCCCTGTGCTTGTTTTGGTGACGGCCTGAAGGCGGGAATTTGCTGATATGATAAGATATCGCAGAACCCTTGCGAAGATTACCACTATCCTCAGTCCCTCACAGTATGGTTTTATGCGATGGGGGCACGATGCCAGCGTCAACATCAACGCCAAACATCCAGCGTTCCTGCTGAATCATAAGATATCACTCAAGGCCCTAACCCAGAGCCTTCTCCAATCAATCATCCCCAGAAAGAAACCCACGGCGGCAAACGCATAGGAAATGGCAACCAAAGACCCTACTACCGCATAATTTGGGCAAACCCGAAATCGCGCTAGAGCAGTTAAGTATGATAAAGCTTGGCCCATTAGGCGAGTGAGAGTAAACTTCTTTAGGATACTCTTTCCCACGAAAATGTAAAACTTTGGTAAAAAAAAAAAACGCCCTGTGGAATTATTACCAAAATCTAACTCTAGAGGGCAACTCTCCTGCAAATCCCCCTCGCCTAAAGAGTCACCCATTGTTTGACTACTCTAGTGTGATTTCGGGTTTGCCCAAATAATGCGGTACTGTATCACGCGAGCATCACACTAACCCAGCAACTCAAGAAATGTGCCCCTACCCCCCTGCCAAGCCATCACACAATTCTGTCTATCATACTTGAAATTGGTTGCAATGGCTTCTTAAAAGGTGCACAGAAGTATGATATCATATCTAATGATTACTTCCAATAGATGCTAAAGCTAATTATTGGGTTGGCCTTTCTGAACTAAACAGGATTTGAACCTTCTACTACTGTAGCTTGAGTATGATACACAGTTTCCTGAATCTTAATATGAAATAAAAATATTTAACAGAGTGTGAGATAAAGAGGTCAAAGACCATGATAATAGCAAGCCAAGAAGAAGTGGAGGTGAGAAATCATAGTATGAATAGAACTGAGAGTAAAGTGAGAAGAGTTGTTGGTATCTTCTACAAGAAGTACAAAAAAAGAAACTAAAATACAAAGAGAGTAAAGGTAGTCACTATAGAGAGAGCTGACATTTTCAGCAACAAACAACAAGTAGCAAAATAAAGCAGTTACCCAATCAAGTAAAAGGGCTCACACTCTCTATTCTGACACATTTTAGTTTCCTCACATATCTCTCTATCTTTATAACCCCTGCTTCCTCACATCCTGCTGTTGATTCAGAGATTATATATACTCCCGGAAATTAAAGAGGTATAAGGTGAATGTGTATAAGCCTGAGGTACTAGTAAAAGAGTAAGTTGAAGAAATTTAAGATGAAAGTATATAAAGTGGGAAAGTATAAGATAAAGTGACATGAAGTAAAAGAATATAAAATAGAGAGATATAAGATAAAGAAGAATATAGGAGAAAGGTATAAGTTGGGGAGGTATGAGATGAAAGAGTATGAGGTGAATAAGGATAGAGTAAAAGAATATGAAGTGAAGGGACCTAACATGAAGGTATATAAAATGAAGGAGTAAGAGGTACTAAAGAGGTATAAAATAAAAAAGTATGTAGTAAAGAAGTATGAAAATTTAATAAAGAAGAATAAGGTACTAAGGGAGGTTGAAATAGAGATATAATGTAAAAGAGTATAAGGAGAAGAGATTAGAGTTCATTACAGGGTCCCGTTTCCAACAAATGGGACACCAAGAGCAGGTTATTAACTGCAGGTTAAGCCAAAAATCGTCCAAATCAAATGAGAACTGAGTGAGATAGAGCTCTTTAAAGTTTAGCAACTTCAGATCTATCTAGCTCCTTCAGTTTTGGTCCGATTTGGATGATTTTTGCACCAGGTTATTTTGTCCCCGCTCCGCGGAAATTGGGCCCCCTGACGAAGCCTAGAAGAGATATGAGCTAATAGTATATTAATACTACTTCCACAGAGAAATGTGACAGCGGACGGCCAGATACTTATTGTATTATACCACTCACCGCGAAGCACCGGGCGGGCCCATCCCCACATTTCTTTTTAAACCCCCCCGCAGAACATATCTACTGGTAATCACACAAATCCAAGCAAAACTCCTGTAAGTAGCGTTGTTGGCACTTAGTCACGGAAAGTTGTGCCCAGGCAATACACATACAAACAAAATGATTCTTTTAAGGAAAAAAAATAAAAACTATCTACAAGCGCAATGCACACCGGATATCACCCATTTCCCATCCCTGTGGGTCCTTGCCCCGCTGGAGTACCCGAATATTCGCCATTCTTTTGACCATTGTATTGTGCTACTAAGTTAGCAGGTTGTGCCGTCAGCTAATCTCACTACAGGACACTCTAACATTTCATAGTGCCAACAACGCTTCCTGTAAATGAACCATCCATGGAAAAAAAAAAAAGGGAGCACAAATGTTCAAGTACAGTACTAGTACTCGTAGTTATATCGTAGCAAGATACTGCGCAACCGACCACATTTTAAATTTATTCGTAATCCGCCAGACCGATATTTTCCGTGCTTCACTGTACCACAACCCAATTGCAGTAATTATCGGCCATCTTGGCTTAGTTCCCCCGGCACACCTCGTAATGCTTACCGCACAGTACAGTACTTCCCACCCTATGAGTACTGTACGAGTACTGTACCAGGTATGACACCTGTGGACTGCGGTGGCACAGTGCACCGCAGGAGCACCGTAATCAACTACCGTGTGACATGGTATTACTCGATACTGGAGTTGCACAAGTACTGCACTCTCCAGGAACCATGCGGGAACAAATGCAGGTCAGGTCGCCTTGTCAGCGCCAGAAGGTCAACGATAATAATTCTGTATTCGGGGAGGAGGATTGGTAATGCGCGGGACCTTCCGTGTTGGGATGCGATTGCGTGGGGTTATCGGTGATTGCTTCGTGTTCCGAGTTGCGTTCTGTATGGACAATACTGTATGATACATAATATGATAAGCTTCTCACGAAAAATCAATTCCTTGAAATCGAATCGGTTAATCCGATCCACTTATCATATCATACGAAGGTCATTCCCACTGGCCAAACAACTCCCCCCACCCCCAACCGTCCAAATCAAAAAAGGGACCCTAGGAGGCCTAATCCTCGGCAGAAACATTAGTGCAAGCATAACCTAAAATCCTCCAATCGAAAGGAAGGCTATACCGTCGCCACACTCTCTCCCGCTCGGCTTTAACCAGCCTCCTCCTCAAACCACCGCACAACGGCAGACTTAACTGCCTCCACAAGCCCAAAATCCCACATCGTCTCTGCGGCTGCGGCTCTAGATGGCTTCCCCAACGTGATAGGGTGCTGTATCATACAATTCTTGGTCCGCTACGTGCCAAGGTTTGTGAGTCTGGTGCGAGTGCTACGCTCGTGGACAGTCTTGCTGCCACATATGGTGCGGGTGGGGAGGGATTTTATTCTTACTACGCAAGCGGACGAGGATACGGGTGGTATATATAATAGGATTGATGGACCGGTTGTCGCCCGTGTACTGGGGTTTGGTTCGGAGGAAGGGGCAAGGGGGGTGCAAACTTTCCCGTGTTAAGAAGCTAAAGCTGTGGCAGAGGCAGCGGGTGGATGTCAACTTTCTAGAGGGATTCGGCCAAGGACATCATCATGGTTTCCCCAGAACGGGTTACTGCAAGTAATTTAGATCCAGGTGACTGCACTGATAAATGTGGGTGATAATGTGTGAGGGCCCCATGAATATTCACCGTAGCTTACCGGTACTCTACGCACCGATTATTTTCTAATTACCATACTCGCGTCATATGCGAAATTATCAAAAAAAAAAAAAAGATATATCGAAAAAGACCAACCATAACCCATCCCAACAACCAACAACACGTATCACTACCAAGTCCTAGACAGTGATCCTAATAATCCGTTAGTGCACTATTCAATACTCCCAAAGACTGATCCGAAAACTCACCATCTTCCCATCCAAGTCTCCGTGATATTCTTCGCCTCGTCGACGAGACCCCACTCCAAGAACAATTGCACCGTCCCCCGAACAGCAGACTCTAGTGCTGAAGCAACCCAAGCGTGGGTATACGAGGTGTGCTCCCCAACAAAGATGATCTAGTAAACTCAACACCTGTAGTCAAATAATAGCATGCGTTGAGAGGACTCACGTTATTCTCTACATTGAAGTACGAAGGGATGTACAGCTTATGCTGCCCAATAAGTGGCTCAGCCCACGAGGCCGCTTCAAACCCATCAAGAGCCCAGCATACGCGTTCAGCCCTAACTAGAGTCAGCACATGGCAGCGGTGTACACATAACCCAACGAGAAGACCTACCTCATGAACTGCTGTCTTACAACAGGACCATGGATCTCCTCCATGGCGGCCATCACGTGCTCAATGTGCTCATCGTCCGAAAAGCTCACTGACCGATCCGCCTCGCCCGCAAAGTTGTACGAAGCAAGAAGCACTCCCGGGCCAGTACCGTTCAGGTTATATGATGGATAGCAGTATCTCTGGATGAGCGGAATGTCGGTGGTCGTACAACCACCAAGGATAGGTGGGTCCAGGTGTTCCCAGAATCGTGTCTTGAATTGTACTGCTACCTTGCAAGCACTAATGTAGCCCAACCTGTTGATAGCTCTTCCGAGGACACTGCTGAACCCTGCTGGTAGTTAGCGATCGTTCTATAACGACCGAGGAGGAGGTGTCAAACTTGGAATTCTTAATTTTCTGACAATGGAAAAGGGAGCGGCGACCAAAGCATAATCATATTCTGCAGTCAAGTAATCTCTATCACGGAAATTCTTTCTCCAGGAGAATCTGACCTTGTTTGCCGATTTCGAATAGTCGATCTTATCGACCCTTCGACCAAACCTGACCCTATCCTCTACAGTAGGCCCGAATGCGAGTGGAAGACGATTAAGGCCTAGATATATAGTGAACCAGTCAGAATCTTAAGGCTTGTTCCTAAGGGCATCCAAATTATTCTCACCGTGATCAATAGTTGCCCAATCGGTAGCAGAGAAATAGACATTATCCATACTATCACTAGCTTTAGCCTCGGGGTTGCGTTGCATTCCAAAAGACGGCAGATATTTTCTTACTAATCATTCCAGAACGACTGGGGAATAGCTTCGGCAGAGCCAAGAACCAAGTCGGTGACATTAAGTGATGCTCTGATGCTCATTTAGTATCTATTTTGGGCCGTGCCCCCGCCGCGAAACCGTCCGGAGAGTGACATACCCAAGGAGAGTATGAATATACTCAAATTCTGAAAAATCATCCCATCCTTCATCTAGATGCACAGAAAGATCAGTTCCCCACTCCTAACCTAGAAAAGTGGGCCACCATACCAACAGTCTTCTTGTGAGCCCTATAAACATTATTCGCCAACTCGGCCATCTTCTCCTTCGTCCCCAAAAGCTCGGTCAATTTCTCCTCAACTTCCTTATAACTAGGATCAGTTATGGGTGCAGGGTTAAGCGAAGGATCGGCCTGTGTTTCGGCCAAAGTGGGTATGGATCCATCCGGCTTCCTGATACCCTCGAAGTAGGAACGAGTATTCGGGTTTGTCTGGATCCAAGTGATGAATTTTACAGCGAGGTCCCTATCATTCTTGTTTTTTTTGTTGAGGTAATCGGCCAGCTGGAAAACTATGTGGTGGTCACGGATGGTCAGGGTTTCGTTCGTTCCGGCATATTTGATGGAGCGAGGGACTATAGGGATATTAGTGGCAAGCCAATCAGATTGCTGGGATACCAGAGCCTATACATCGCATTGGTCCCATCTCTAATGAATTGTCAGAAATTACACAATCAAATCAAAAGTTATAGCATGCGGATAGCTCACCCTGGTACTGATAATCATTTGTAGTTGGGCCTCCGGCAAAGTATTGAGTTTTCACACGGCTAGACAAAGTCAGCGGCACAGTCCCCGGGAAATAAAAGAAGTTTAGTTCAGCGTCCCCGGTACATACCCTCCAAGTCTATGGGACGCCTCTGTGATCTCCCAATTATGAAACCCTTGGGAATCCAGTAGCAACTATAAACGTTAGTAAGTGATGTATAGTAGCGAAAAGGCCCAACCCACGCCCGTCATAAGTCCGGACATTCCAGCGCCGAGAATACCGATCTCTACAATCTTTCATGTCAGCATACGATTCAAAGGGGGAACCAATGCTTCCCCATCACAGCTAGTACCCGCGCAAGGCGACTCACTCTTCTTCTTCAGCTCCTCAATGACAATCGGCGGAACCTCCTTATCCTTCAGCAACTTAACCCCGTCGAACCACGGGCCAGTAGTATCAATCCCACTACTATTATCCATCTTGATTGGATTAATCTCCCTCTTTGCAAGATTCCTCTTCTTGAGTCCCGCCTGTACGTCCAACGGAAGACTCCGTCCGAGCAAGCCTCCACCATTCGCTGCCCATGCTGATATACAACCACCAGGAGGGGCATCCTCAGGAACTTTCCACAGTAACCGATCAGCGGCAATATCACCAGGTGCCGTGCTCGAGACGAAGTGATGGGAATCCCGAAAAGTAAAAGCAGAACACGATCCGTAGGTGTATTCTACCCCATCGCTCAAAGGAGATCTGCGGGTTAGGTGAACATTCACGAGTCCCGTATTGATTGGCGTGCGGACTTCCAGGCCGATTGGGTGAGCAGACGAGCCGGGCGCGGGTGAAGCAGCAATCGAACTAGCTGCAGCCAGCAGAACTGAGAAAAGAATGGATTTGGTCATTGTATTCTATCGGGTGGGTCCCCTAGTATCGCAGGCCGTGGGTATTGGGGGGCAGAATGGAATTGGACGTGGGCCACGAAGAGTCTTTATGCTCTTGCACCCAGCACCGTCTATCCATCCTTCCTCGTGATCGAGCAAGGGCATCTTATAGATCAGAAGCCCAGCAAGCATTCCCAGAAAATAGAACACCAGTCCTAAATGGGGAAATACCGCAGCGGATAGGCTGCGTAGTAGGGTGAGATTGAAATGGGATGGGCAGAACTATTTTCGAAAGGCAATAAACTCAATGAAAGGACCCTGCTAGCCCAACTGTGCTTATACGGAGGCTGCCATCAGCCATCGCAAAGTGGTTCCCCCTGACTCGACTCACCACACTAGCCTTAGACATGGGGGAAGGGCTCCCCACGGCGAATTTTGGATACGAGCGACGCCCAAACTGTGAACTGGGGTGCCACAAGTACATGGGACATCAGCTACGGTAACAACGCAATAGTACCCGTATCAACCTTGCGGATATGATAGCCCAGCGCAACAAAGCCTCACCGGCACAAGTACTCGTACAATATGGTACCTACCTAGGCATTGCACACGTCTACAAGTACAAAGGTAGTGCCGATCAACCAACGCCCACTACTCGAGTATCCCCCCCCCGATGCATTCGAATCTTAGTCCACGACCAATGTTCAACTACCGATATTAGACAAAGAAAAAGAAAAGAGCGGCGTCAGGGCCCCAGCACGGAAGTTGTGAATGCGGGAACATAAAACCATGGCCAGAACTGGATTATAATTGGGTTGATATGGTACAAGGACTACGGTACTGCACCGGTATAGAGAAGCCTCATACAGTCGCACCCTATTGTCCCGGACCTCGCTCTCCCGGATTCTTCGCTGTCCCGGATGAATTTCTATGAATTATAAATTTCTTTACACCAAAACTGAACCTGTTGTCCCGGATAAGTCGCTGTCCCGGACGGATTCTTGGGATTTTGGCCATCCGGGACAACGGGGTGCGACTGTATCACTGTAACCCCCCCCCCCTGGGTAGGCTTCTATCCAAGGACATCCCCGGCCGGTGCTCGTACCCAACATGATTTTCGTATTAGTCTGTGTGGCAACTTGTAGACGTGGATAACCACAGTACGGTACGGGTAGGTATCACCAAGTAGTATACGGTACCAGTACCGTACCCCTACTCCCGCCAAGGTATCGACAAACACATCCTCTCTCTCAGCCCCGCGGACAATGTGCAGACAGGTGCGGACGAACTGGCTACCGGGGGTGCAGCCTTTTGGTGGATGGTGAGCTCGTGAGGCTCGGATGGTACTCGCACTAGTACAGTATCGCTTGACACAATAACGTCATACCGGAAAGAATACTCGAGTAAAGCCTCGCAAAGTCGGGGGCCCATCACGTTTGGACTAGAAGGGTCGTCCTGGCCAGGATTGCGGTGCAGAGACTTTGCGATTTCGCATCCAGAGTCAAATTCTAGCGATCTCATTGGCCCAGAACCCTGTTTGACCCACATCCAGAGTCTTTGCGCAAAGTCACTATCATACCTGGTACGAGTACTCGTACTGACATCTGATGGCGCAACAGGGCCAACGCCTCTCATTTCATTAGGCTCACTTCTATTTGTGGAACCAATGGCGGGATTAATAGGGGCATCCACCGGATACGGTTAACCGCTTTAGGCCGCCACTCCGAGAGGGTAGGCACCCCAGACCAAATATCATAATTATGATATCGTAAAAACTCGAATACCGTAATCGAGCCTCACGCTAGGACGTCCAGAATTCCCTCTCCTGGATACCGTAGGGGACCAGGAACACAGCAAAAACTGACCCCTGAGCCCTGGCTTGAGACAAAAAGATGATCATAACACAAACACCGCATAATAATACCGGTATCATACAAGCGAAGGTAACTTCAACGTCCTATGATAGCTCGAGATTCAATTTATTCGAGTTCCCTATTTATCATACTCTTTAACTCCACTATCGGAGACTCTCAACAGAAATCACGGCCTAAACCACGATAGACGTAGAAAGGTAGACGAACAAAACTACGAATACGGTACCAGTTAAGAAGATCCAGTAAGCTCAGCCTCCCCAAGTTATCCTGTATTCCTTCCCGGGGGCTTCTCACCGGGTGGATCCAAGGCCGATCCCAGATAGTGGGTTCGACGAGTAAATACCGTAAAAACTCTTGGAATCCACTACCGGTACGCGTATCCCCGTAGCTAGTGCTGATCTCTATTTTACTCGCAATTGGTTTAGTTCTACAGGTTAACCGAATTGCGAATACGGTACTCTTACCGGTTAATAGGATCCAACAAACCCTGGATGCTGGGGCTCTACCGCTTAGGGAAAACACTAAGGGGTGTTTGGCCCGCCAAATCCGATTCGAAATCGTGATTTGAGATCAGATCCTGGCAACTTTAACTTGGATTATTACTTCTAATTACATACAGTTCCTAGATTAATAGTATAAATAATCTAAGTTAAAGTTGCCAAGATCTGATCTCAAATCACGATTTCAAATCAGATTTGGCGGGCCAAACACCCCCTAATCTTTTTCGGGAGCCTTTCACTCAGAATCCGGAGATTACAGGGCGAGTAGAGATAGTGAATTCCAAGAGTCTTTACGGCACTTTTTTCACGAGATGGCGCGCTGAGCGCCTACCGGTACAAGTAACTCACCAAGGATGGTTGCACAATCACTCAACAAACGGCCAGCCTCGAACCGGATATACCGTATCTGCCTTGCCGGTACCCTCCTGGCCTTCAATTCAGACACCGATCACTAGCACTTGTACAGTATGAGCACTCATGCTGGAAGACTTGCAAGTCTCCCTCCACCAGCCATAAGCACTCCATCTCGACCTGGTAAATCCATTCGGCAAGACAACTAATCCAGTACTCGAGTACACGTGCACATGCACTGCACCATGACATCTTTCCCCAAAAGACCCCCACTGTGCTAGTACAGTACCGTACTGGTACAGTACTTAATATCTCTCTCCCTGTGAAACATTCGTATCAGGGTGCAGAGCAAGCACTTGGGTGGGGGAGGTAATCCGTGAACAGAGTCCTTATTTGTCAAACTGCTACAGATACCCCTTCTGGCGGATAGAAAAACCATGAAATGTTCGGTATCTTCTCCCCGCTCGAGTACCGTGCCATCAATCGGCTTAGCCGCATATCAGAGATGACTATTCATTGGGAGCGCTCACGGACTGACCTCGGCATCCGGGAACTTGGATAGCGGCGGACTGGGGGGGTGATACGAGATTGCGGAAAGAGGGGTCTCCCATCCAGATGCCAAGCTCAGGAGAGTCAAGTGTTTTGATACGAGTACTCGTACAAGTACAAGTACCGGTATCGACTAACGGGGTTGAGCTGCCGAACCAGCTACGGTAATATCAGTACTGTACCGCTCCCCCAAATGCAACCAAATCATACGCAATACCTTGTATTTTGTGGTACGAGCAGCGGCTTTCATCCCTAATCTGCAACTCGTCGCAAGCCACGCATTTCCTCGGCCTTCCTTACATCTTCTGTGATCCGGTTTTTCTTTTCCCCACGACAATCAATGTTGGATGATGCTGGACGCGTGAAATGAGCCCTCTCGACAAACCAAAACCACCCAATTGAACTGGCCATGAATACATCCAGAAGGAATACGGCGACTGAGCAAAAATCTCTGTATACCTGTTCAATGCCCTCTCCTCTCCGTGTCCATAAACTTTTTCTCTCTTTTCCATCGAGCGAGCATCGGATGAGAAAAAAGGTTCCGGTGGGCGCTAGTTCCCAAGTCAACAACGGAACCAAGTGTGTGGGCTTCAGGTGTCCAATACTACGTTAGATTTGTGGCATTTGTCCAACCTCCACCCCAGACTGTATCCTCTCTACAGTACCGCACCGTACCTTGTTGCTGCGTGATTGCCGCACACACCCCGCTGCATATACTGGATGCCTAAATCTGACCTTGTTCTCTTGCGATCACTGGGGCCAGTACGCAAAAGCCTTTTTTTTACCCAACACTTAACGATACAGCACTCGATCGGGAAACGGCGTTCACAGGAGTAAGGAAGCTATATTTCTGGCTAGTCCTGTGGAGAGTCCCCCTCAACCATACTTTTCTAGGATGCGCTCATTATTGACCCTACGGTAGTGCGTGATTGTGGTCACCAAAAGGGCTGACTCCGGATGCGCAGCACCATCCAACCTTAACCAACGCCCCCTCCCGGTGAGAAACAGGACAACAGAAGGTAACACTCTGCAGCACTGCCGTACGAGCACGATACACGAGCGCTCACATGTACCCGGTACCGTATTCGCCAGTTCCAAATGTATACTGAAATCCCCCCGTGGCGATGTTTGGCTCCAATGCCCACCAAGCACTTATACGGTGCAGTGCTTGTACGAGTACTCGTACAACCACTGTGCCCCCCAAACCCTTGATACCGAGCGGACAAGGGGATCTCCGGATACGGTATGGTCCCTCAGGAACCGGCAAGCACTAGGCACGGACCGGGGCAATCCGTGGAACCACCCCTCATTGGCCCGATCGACCACCTCCCCACTCGGAGAGCAAGATTTCACCCAAGTCACTGGCGCTAGAACTCAACCGGCCTCTTCACAGAAAATGTCGGCGTAAATGCTCAATTCGCTTTTGCTCGCAAAGTGCCGCACCGCGTAAAATTTTGCAAGATGGACTCCACGAAGAGGGATACAAGCGCTTGTCTCGGAGAATACCCCCAATTCGAGAGATCTCAATTCGCTTTCAAGTACCGTACGAGTACTAGTGACTCGAGCACTAGTCAAGGTATCGTATCCGGAAATCGTTCTGCCGGGGGCACGGGAATTGGCTGCGGTTCCTGGTGGCTTGGCAAGCAGGTTTCCGGATAGCTTTGGAGGAATCAAGAATCGAGTGATGATGGTGCAAGTGATCCTTTATCCTATCATACCAGTTGATTTTATGCACAAGCACCTGGGTACTCGAGTACCGGTACAGCATGATATCGGTATTAGATGTCAAGTGCTAGACATCAAGCTACGGTAGGGTCCACGCACAGACACTCACTCGGTCTCAAACCACTGTGCCGTATTGGTCCCAATACGGCATGAGAAGCATGGAGGCATGATATCATGCGGCGGCTAACTCAGCAGAAATGTACGACGCGCTTCATAGGTCAATCACGATTATGACACCTTGCACCACGCCATAACAACTCTTGCAGTTCGCCATCTCGGTTGGCTGACTGGTCTGGGGATCCAGAGACAATAGTTCTCGAGAAGGATTAGCGTTCTCCTGACAACGGTGCACGCCGAATCCTCAGGCTCTGCTGGACCCGGTTAACTACAGTACCGGTACGGTAGTTTTTGCAACTGCGATAATTTTCCAAGCTCACGAAAACAACCGGTACAGTATCGTGGGCTGGGCCGATGCCCCGATTCACACGGATACCGGAGACCTGGCGGAGATAGTAAATCTCAAGAGTTTTTACAGTACCATTTGCGAGCACTAGTTACCGTACTGGTACTTGCACATAAGCACTGGTACAGTGCACTCGTTAGGGCGGGCGCGGGGTGGCGGGAAGAAAAAAAAGCGGGCCTTTTGAGATCCCTGCCCGATCAGTGATTCAAGGGATCAAGGGGGTCCCGGTATCATACGGTACCTGTGTGGTACAATGTGGGGTACCGGTACCGTACTCTCGTATTACTGGTACCAGTACAGTACTGTGGGACTAGCGCTGGCTTCTTCGGATCTCAAGCCATACCCCGGGCAATGCGGGGTCTCGGTGGGAACCTTTCTTCCGTATTTTCCTCCATGCTGGAGATACAGGTACAGTATCTGTTGACCCTGTTTTTACACTTTTCTTCTCCCCTTCCTTTCTTCTGCCCACCCGACCCGGCAGAAGGGAGAAAGGAGAGCAGCAGATCTGATTAGATCTTCAAGATTGGTGGTTTTCGGTTTTCGTTCTCGGTATAATACGGATAAGGCAAGATACCGTATGACTCTAGTGAGGGGGTACCACAGAAGTATAGGGCGTGTCAAAGTACCGGTGTGTCGGTAGGAAGCGGGAAGAACTTCCTGTTGGCTTTCCTTTCTGGGAGAATTTGCAGGAGTATTGCCCGTACTCGAGTAGAGTACCGTACTGTACAGTATGTGCAATTCCGGGTCCCGCGCCAGAAGGCAATTACAGGGCACAGGTGGTTTTATAGGGGCACGCTTCTGAAACACTAACGGTTCCGGTTGGTTAGAAGATCCCCCCAGGATGGGAAACTTTTGTGTAATAGAGTGCGCGCACTGGCAACGATTGGTGTTAAAATCCCGGAAAATTACCACTACCGTATCGTACCCGCTTACTTGTAAACGTGATGTCGTGATTGAAGGGAACTTGTAAGGGTGAGGTAGCAGACAACAGTCCTCGTTTTCTGCTGCTGTGCCTGTTGTCATGCCATTTATACCGCAATGTGCAGTATCATACCGGTACTCGAGTACACACAGCCACATTGGTAAAGCTCTCATACGTATCCAGGCACAGTGCCCCGGGGCCTTTGGGGGTCGCTTCTCTAACCCTATCTTTCTTATTATTCGGTATGATAGGACAGATTGCTGTAGGGCTTTACAATACCGGTATCTCAAGGGCTCCTGCTGCTCTCTTGTTGTTAATGGGTAATAGGTATAATTCTTAAGAGCTTTACCAATGCTGCTGTATGATATTTGTTTTATCATCATAATAATATTATTATCATATTTCAAGTAGACTATCATACCGCTCCATTCTTCTTCTAAGGCTTCGAGGCAAAGGCTTGAAAGCTCGTCATGTGACAGGAGCTTATTTTTTTCGGGGTTCAGCCTGCGCGTGGCTCGGCCCATATCTTGGCACGTAAGCGCTGATCGAGCACTAGCTTCGCCAAACATAAGCAAGATGCTGACTCCGAAACCACTCCACATCGCCATACCTTCCATAACTCACCTCTGCGTGGTTACCAAAACCTTCCCCCTTCCCAACCTCCACCACCACTTCATACTGTGCCTCACAGTATTCAGCGGCAGACGGTCAGGTCTGCTTCCCAGTCTTTACCGAAGCGAAGCTTTGCAAGGAGGATCCGCCACCGCAGGGAGAGAGCAATAGGGCAGCACGGGGGGATTCCGGTCGGCTGAAAATTTGGTCAACGGACCATTCGAACCACCGCTTTCCTGCCCCCACCTTGACCGCTCCCTTCTCCCAAGCCGCCCAACGTCGTCTTTGAGCGGGAAAACTCGGAAATCCTCCGTCATGACTATGCCGCCCCCCGACAAGCCATGGGAAGCCAATCATAATGTCTCTGTTATGTGCCCCGACTGTCGCGAGGTGCCCGCCAATATTGTGGAGGAATTTTCGTCCGGGGATATGGTTTGCGGCTCTTGCGGATTAGTGCTCGGTGACCGTATCGTCGATACTCGATCCGAGTGGCGTACCTTCTCGAACGACGATCAGGCTGGCGATGACCCTTCCCGTGTCGGAGATGCGGCGAACCCCTTCTTGAACGGTGCTCAGCTGGAGACCACAATCTCGTACACTCCGGGAGGCGCTGGAAGGGAGCTTCATAGAGCTCAGAACAAGACCGCTGGTGATAAGTCCACCAAAGGGCTGCTCGCTGCGTATAAGGAAATTGGTGCGTTTTGCGACTCTATAAATATCCAGAAGGTCGTCTCCGATGCGGCGAAGCAACTTTTCAAGATCGTGGATGATCACAAGGCCTTCAAAGGGAAGCCTCAAGAAGCCATTATCGCCGGGTGCATCTTCATCGCCTGCCGCCAATGCCAAGTTCCTCGAACCTTCCGTGAGATATTCGCTCTGACAAAGGTTCCCAAGAAGGAAATTGGCCGTGTCTTCAAGGCATTGGAGAAGTTCTTCGCGGCTCAGGATAGCAAGAAGATGGATGAGATCACCAAGTCGGGCGGCATCGTGGACGATAGTCAGCAGTACAAGACTACGAGCTCTACGAGGGCCACCGAACTTATGATCCGTTATTGCAACAATCTGAACCTCACTCAGAACTGCACCACCATCGCTCAGGAACTTGCGGACCGTGCTGCCACCATCGGTACCCTTGCCGGGAGATCTCCCATTTCCAGTGCTGCAGCTTGCATTTACATGGTATCCTATCTCATGAAACAGCCCAAGACGGCGAAAGAGATTTCGACGATCGCGGGTGTTAGCGACGGAACGATTCGTAACGCATACAAGCATCTATATAACGATAGGAACAAACTGATCGACCCTAAATGGGTCGAGAATGGCAAGGGGGATATCAGCGCCTTGCCATCGTCGTAGGGGATGTCGGCACCCAGTTGTAAAAGCCCGGGCAGCTCGGGGCTCTGTTTGGGTCCATCCCTTTAACCTCTACGACAACCTGTGACCTCTTGGCTTGGTTTACTCATTTACTCGGTTCGTTTCGTCTCATCTCCCCATTCCCTACCCCTTTAGCTTTTTAAAGTGTTTTTCATTCTACACGATAGACCGTGACCCCTCGCGGGGTTTCAATTCAGGCGGCGTTAATCGAGGGATGATGAGGCGGTGATTTTCCATTACAAAAGCAAAAGCTTTCCATTGTCATTATCTGTGCGCTCAGTTTGTTTTGCTATCTTTCGTTTTCATTACTTTCAAAGTGTCGCTTTGGTGGGGGAGGGCGGATAATGCTTTTACGAGGAGAGAGAGGGGTCTGTAAGTTATCAAACGAGACCGTACCGTATGCCTTGTTTTTTAGTGGTTTTTTTTTTTTTTTTGCTCGTGGGAGGTCCTTCCCAGCCCTTTCACCGTGCCGTGTGATGAACAAAAATGTATAATCGGAAAAGCCAATATTCCTTTGAGGACGACTTTTTTATATGCACATATACGAATTAAATTATGATAATATGCATATTTTCACACAGCCCCTTACCTCACACGGTGATGCAAGTATGAGTACAGTACGGTGTTGTAAAGACCGGAATAATTGAAAATCTCACCAGGAGGTTGGAGTTGCATCTCTCCCAACAGGGTCAGTCGCATTTCTCCTTTTTCATTCGTCCTGACTATGGGGCCGAAAGACAATCCATTCTCCCAGCGCTATTCTGAATGATTCCGGTTCTCACTGTAGATGAAACCACAGAATATCATAATAATAGATAGGAACCCCACCCCCCCACTTTAGCCCACCTTTCAAATGGGTGATTACCGACGCTTCCGGCTGCTCTACCGTACCGTACAGCACCTGCTGGAGTGTCGTGCCGGTTACCGCTCCTGCTGTCACTGTTGGCATTTTCGGTGACGATACGAGCCAGTCCGGTACTGTACTGCAGTTCGTCCGGCCCCAGCTCCATTAAGGCCCGAGTGCCGAAAAGGATGCACAGCGTTCTCTGAAGGAGATAATAAACTTGTAGTAGCAGTGCAGTAGCGTATTATCCTCGCGATGCAGGAGTCGCTCCTTCCCCCCCCCCCCCTCAAAAGTACTCTGCTGTAGGGATATGGTGGCTATGCACAATATTGTACCTGTAACTGTACTCGCACCATACATTGCCCGCGTAAGGTGCCGCCACGTCGTGTGAGTACGAGTGCTCGAGTACCGTATACGGTAATAGCGTACCGGTATGGTACCGTAGTCGGTGCCTCCTCCTCCTACTTGCTGCGGCGTGGACGGGTACGAAGGACGATGATGATTACGAAGAGTGCTGTATCATACCGGCATGATATACCGTATCTTAACTCGTACAATAGGCGGTGGCGGGTCGCGGTGGCGGCGGCAGGGCAGTGCGGAGGGTGCCGGTGGTGACGATGCTCTCCTCGACCCGGGTCATTTGTTCATGCGGTTTGTGCGCTGAGTTTGGACTTCCGGTACTTGTACGGTGTTCCGGGCCCGAGCGGCCGTGTGTCGGACCCTGCCACTAAGCTTGGGGTTACGGGGGCTTCTGGCGAGGTGTCATATCATACTTGTATGATACCCGGGCTCACTCCGGCTGTACCGGCACCGCACCGTATTCCACCTTGCGGGTAAGTTATCTGGGTATGACACAGTATGATATTGGTTTCACTCTCGATATGATACTAGCAGAGTTTTGCATTTTTCTCGGTAGACTCCAAAATAAAGAAGGGCTTCCGGTTTTGGGATTCGTTGTTGCCATCTGTGATTGACACTACTGCCGGTACTGTAGTTATGATAGGCCTCGGATTTTGCTCGTTTTTGAGGACCCGGCTTGAGCTCATTTGCGGTGTGAGATACTTGTACTTGTATGATGTGATTGATGACAAGGAAACATGCCTGGTCCTGGTTTTCCTTCGTATCATGCTTAACCCAAGGATTCACATAACGGCTACAGGAATTGCTCTAACTCACCGGTGTCCTGCAGAAAAACTGAAAGTCGGGTTCTGAACGGGGAGGTCGGAATCTATGCCAGGACGGCCAACCGGTACCGGTATTTGGGGAGAGTCAGTGAAGATTGAGGAATTCGTAAAGTTTATACTACGGTAAACCCCCGATGGAGGACCCTCGCATTATCGGGGTTCTTTTTGGGTTGGGTTGGGGGGGGACATTTTTTCCTTGTTGGCGAGATCATTCGGTTTGTAATCGTAATTACCGTATTATCGTAAAAAAAAAAATTGTGAACGAGTTTCGCCACAGGTACAGTACTCGTACAGTATCATACCGTAGATGATGATGGCGAAAAGAAAAAAAGGGCTTTACCCTCGGTAACGAAAAAGGTCAGCTACTGGTACCGTATGTATCTATGTATGTATGTAAACTTGGCTGGAGGCAGCAGCAAATTTTGGGGACAGAACCGGGGAGGTCCCCATAGAAATGGCTGGAGCATGCTGTGGGTTGGTGGCCTCACAGGATGCGCGTTTGGTAAACCCTTAAGCCTAAAACGGTTGGCGCCTGGAGAGGCCAGCTGCGCCGCGTGAGCGATAGGCTTGTGCACCACCGCTATTTAAACTGCTTCCCCCTCTCTGACTCCTTCTCTTTCCTCAACCATCCTTCTTTCCCCACCCGCTACAACCTTTCTTCTGCTCACCATCAAGACTCCCGTTAAGAAACAAACAAAAACATCTTCCATAACAATAATCAACCATGCAAATCTTCGTTAAGACTCGTGAGTTTATCTGGACCCTTTCTGCTTTGTTTCTCTGCTCTCTTTCCTTTTTTTTCTTTTCCCATCGGTTGTTATAGGGTATGCGAGTTGGATGAAATTCTAAACATTCTTCTATAGTCACTGGAAAGACCATCACCCTTGAGGTGGAATCATCGGACACTATTGACAATGTCAAGTCCAAGATTCAGGACAAGGAGGGAATTCCCCCGGATCAGCAACGTTTGATCTTCGCTGGAAAGCAGCTTGAGGACGGACGCACCCTTTCCGACTACAACATCCAAAAGGAGTCTACCCTCCATCTTGTTCTCCGTCTTCGTGGCGGTATGCAAATCTTCGTCAAGACTCGTAGGTTTCCTGCATCTTTGCTTACGTGGCATGAACTAACCTTATGTCATAGTGACCGGCAAAACCATCACCCTTGAGGTGGAGTCTTCTGACACCATCGATAACGTCAAGTCGAAGATCCAGGATAAGGAGGGTATCCCTCCAGATCAGCAGCGTTTGATTTTTGCTGGAAAGCAACTTGAGGATGGCCGTACCCTTTCCGACTACAATATCCAGAAGGAGTCTACCCTCCATTTGGTCCTTCGTCTTCGCGGTGGAATGCAGATCTTTGTCAAGACCCTCACGGGTAAGACGATCACTCTAGAGGTTGAGAGCTCGGATACCATAGACAACGTCAAATCCAAGATCCAGGACAAGGAGGGAATTCCCCCAGATCAACAGCGCTTGATTTTCGCTGGAAAGCAGCTCGAGGATGGTCGCACTCTCTCAGACTACAACATCCAGAAGGAGTCTACTCTACATCTTGTCCTTCGTCTCCGTGGTGGAATGCAAATTTTCGTTAAAACCTTGACCGGAAAGACCATCACCCTCGAGGTGGAGTCTTCTGATACAATCGATAATGTAAAGTCGAAGATTCAGGATAAGGAGGGTATTCCTCCAGACCAGCAGCGTTTGATCTTTGCTGGCAAGCAATTGGAGGACGGCCGGACTCTTTCTGATTACAACATCCAGAAGGAGTCTACTCTGCACTTGGTTCTCCGTCTTCGTGGCGGGGCTTTGTAAGGTTTAGGGATGGTGTTAAGACTGGACGATTTATGTGATTCCGGTGGCTTGTAAATGATTGGATGGCTCCTTACTTTTTTTTTTTTTTTTACTAGGTTCTTTGGTGTTTGGGCCGACTTACCCTGGTTTGTATTGCTTTCTATTTAGCAAATGATATGAGACTCTTTTTGAAGCATTAGATCTTTTCCTGTGAGGAAGGGCTGGTGGTGGTGGGTGTGGGAGATGAAGAAAGCTGGTCTATTGTTGAGATGCACTCGCTTTTTACTTTGATCATACGAAATATTTGACTGGCGATGTCTACATGCTGTGGTTCTGCTCACGGTACCATTCAGATGTTATTGGATGTTGAAACCGAGTCGATCCTTCACCCATGGGAAGTGGACAATTTGATACTTCCGACTCGAGTGTTGTGCGCCCTTATTTAGACTACCCTTATTCGCTATGTACCGTCCGGCCTCCGGCGTATCCGTTCTCATAAAATCTCACTCGCCAACAATGAACAATTCCACCCTTGACTTTGCCAATTTACAATCGCGGCACGCAGTTAGGAAAAATTACAACGAAGAGAAGTGCTCATAGGTCCTTGCACTCGATCTAAACTGAATTTACGCCCCTCCCTCTAGAAAATCACTTGGGTACCGCAACCTCTCTCCCACAAGTCTGGGTTGGCTTAAAATAAATAACCTACAGCCTCGCTGGATACGATCCATAGGTTCGCTTTACGGGCTCGGCTTCCTTTGCACTGACTGATGGGCTGCGGTAGGGAGGGAGGGGCCGAGGTGCCTGTCGGGCTATGCAAGTGGCGAAACCACCTGTACGGTACGTCCCATTTACTGTTCCTATATCAAGTATGGGGAATCTTCCTCTCGTGGTAGAGACTTGTCCTTACTGCTTCTAAATCGCCCTCGTTCTGGCTGGTGGTGAAGAAGAGAGACGCCGAAGCTGTCGGAGGGTGATCACTGGGCTACTGCTTAGCGTAGTGACAATTGTCCTATTATACCGCTCCTTTTTTCTTCTTCTTTCACTTCTTGAGCCTCTAGCCTATCCACATAGTACCGATGCACCGGGAAAACTATTCAATTCAACGCACTGTACTGCCTGACATTATACCCAAAGTCGGCCCTCTGAAGGAGATGGGAATAGTTGTGAGACGCTGCACAGAAAAACCCCATTATGAAGTGGGACCCCGTGGTGATTGTCTGGAGTTCTGGGGCCGGGCTAGAGGAGGGATTTGCATTTACTGGCTTAGCAGGCCAGAGTAAGAGGGATATAGGAGGAGGTACGAGTACGAGCTCGCGGTTGGGTCCTCCCATCTCCCGGAGCAATTCCGGAAGAAATTGTGTTGTGCCCGTCGGCGGTGATTTGGGGTCATCAGTTGCCAGTTGCCCACCCCACCGGTTCAGTTCCTGTCTGTCTGTCTGTCCGGGGGAGGTATGACATAATTTCTTGAGCATGTTCCGGAGGTGCTGTGTTTCTACCTTTTTTTCTTTCACAGCCTTCAATTCGTTTACCCGATTGGGGAGTTTGGGAAATATATATGATGGTACTCGGATGGTGAGGACTTATCCATGGTTGTGTCTCTGCTGCATCCATATGGGGGATCGAGGGAAGATTTCTTGAGCAGATGTCGTACCTGTTGATTCAGTTTTCCGGTAGGCAAATTGAGGACTCAAAATTTCAATGTGGTATCCCGGCCCAAATTGTACGTGCATCGGGGTCCCAACGTTGAGTCCCTTGGTATCATACAGGGTCACAAAGGCGCACTCGCGCTAGGAGTCCAAGTGCCAATGGGGGAAAGGAGAAAAGAGTGTCTAGAGCCCCCCGGGAATAATATTTCCTGGGCATCAGCAGGCGCCCAGGGCGATACTACGGGCCCAATAGTAGACTACTTATAACACCGATTTTATTCGAGTGTCACGGAAAGCTACAGAATATATATTATTGATCTAAGTTACAGGGGGAGCTAATTGTTCTGGTACATATCTCTCAAATCCCTGCTAAACTCATCTAAACAACTCTAGATCGTGTTTTATTTATTTTTTCCATGGAATAGTCGGCAAATAATTTTGTCCTTTAGAAATGAGAAAACTGTGAATCTATGATATTGATTTGGTCGTTTCTTGATGTTCTGAAATATTCATTCCTCGTCGCCCCGGTATCGTTGTCTCAAAATTGTGGCTGTTGGTCCCGAGCACATAATTACCCGAAAATGCCAAGCTCTTTCTTCACTTTCGCTGGGTTGAGCCTCACGAATGCCTTCTTCAAGAGCAATCCCCCAGAGAAGTTCAACCCCACCAATGCCACGATGGACGAAGCTGATAGCATATCCGTTAAGCTCACCGAGCTCCTACGACACCCGGAAGTAGATTCCCTCCCCTATCTGTGCGCTATAAGAGGTGCTCAAGCTAATCGTTGTTTCGCTTAGGACCTTGACAGGATAGCTTCGCTCAATTCTGAATTCTCACGGAAGAAAGGCCATGTTGATGCACAGCTTAAGGCTGCTCTTGCGACACAACTCAAGGTTACGCAGGTATAGCTTCCGCGGTGGGCAAACGACTCCCGGGGGGCTTTGGTCACTGATTATTTGCTAGTCTGGAATCGATGCTATCAATGATGGGCAAAAGATCTTGAATGCTGTCAAGGAGGAGATGGTTAAAGTATCTACTCTCCCGGATCGTTGAGAATGCTGGCCAAACTGATACGAACGCTTAGATTGATAAACTGTGCAGTGAAGCGGAGGAGATGATCGATGAATTCCCATTGATAAACAAGATTTCGAAGATTCACCGCAATTTTGTTGCTGTGGAGGAGATCAAGTCCAAGCTCCAGGGCCTAGATTCTCGATTGGCAGAGGTGGGCCGCATGCTTGCTGATGACTCCGGCGACTGTGGGTTTGAGAATTCATCCAGCGGGTACACGGCAGAGCTGACGTTAGGGTCCCAGCGTTGGCAAACGAGATGCCGAACCTTCTACCCATCCACTTCGCGATTATGCAGTTGCAGGATTTCAAAGAGGATGTTATGCACCAGAGCGAGCGAGCGGATAACGATGTTAAGGAGACACTCGAGAGCTATTTTTCACCACTAGAGAATACTGTCGGAATGTTTGATGAGAGGGTTGGGATCATTTCTATGAGCTTGATCGAGCTGGTTCGAGCTGGGAATAGGAGTCTTGTTGTTCGTCTTGCAAAGATCATCGACTCTGAAGAACGGTCGGACGAGAAGGTCCTAGCTCTTCAGGAAGCTCAAAACAGCCACCAGGATCTAGCTACAAGGTATAACGGCCAAAACCATCCCCGTCATGATATCGCTGACAGGCCGATTCAAGGTTCAAATCGATACAAAAAGGGCCCAAAGTAGCTCGAGGATATAAAGAAAAGTTCCTCGCCTGCATAAAAGCCGCCGCCCAAGCTAAATTCGAAGCTGCAAAGGAGCGATTCGAGGACAATCCGGAAGGTCTGGAAGAGTGTCTGAGCTGGTACTTTGCCGATTTGCAAACTGTCAAGAGGGATTTCGTCCAGTTAATGCCCCGACGTTGGAAGATCTTCGACACGTACCTTGAAATCTACCACAACTCGATGCACGGCTTTCTGAAAGACCAAATCGGAAAGTCTGACCTCGACGGACAGGGTTTACTAAACATCATCCTATGGAACGGGGAATATAATAAGGGTATGAAGGCACTCGGCGTCAAGGCAGCCGAACTAAAACCTCAGCTCATCGACGGCCGGGAAGCGGAGCTACTGAAGGAATACTCCCAACTGATTGTCAGAAAGATGGAAGAATGGATGAGCAAGATAATGGAGGACGACACAAAGGACTTCATTCTCCGAACCCACCAACCCAACGAGGAAGACTCAAAATGGCACATGCCCAGCGTGCCAACAATGTTCACCATGATAAACCAGCAACTAAATGTCGCGCTCGACAGCAACAGGGGCAACGTCGTAACAGGAGTCGTGGACGAGTGCGTTCGCCTGCTCAAGGACCGCCAGGCTCGCTGGCAAGCAGTCATGGCAGACGAAATAAACAGGCACATCAAAGCCACCACAAAGGAAGATCTAGAAGACCTCCCGGACGGGATCCTGGAGTACATGATGGCAGTAGCAAACGACCAAATCCGCTCGGCAGCCTACACACAGGAAATCTCGGACCGCGTCGCCCCAATGCTCTCTAAGAAGTACGAAGACCAAGTCCGCCGCGCGCTGGAAGACGCCATGAATGGCTTCGTGGACCTGGCAACCTACTCCCTCGCCCAGATCATAGAAATCATCTTCAACGACCTCAAACCCCCGATAAAGAACCTCTTCACCCCAGCCTGGTACAACGGCTCGGACATGGAGACCATGGCCACGACTATGCGCTCTTATATCGTCGACTTGAGCCCGGGCCTCGACGCAGACCTGTTCCCGGCATTTATGCACCAGCTCTCGGAAAAGACATGCGTAGCCTACCTCAGCGGCGTGCACAACAGAGGTGCAAAATTCCGCACTTCCGAGGCCGCAGCGCAGATCCGCTCGGACGTGGCTGCTGGGTACGGCTTCCTGACGGAGTTCGTTGATAGGGGCGAGGTCAAAGGTGTGTGGACCGTGCTGGAACACTTCCTTGCCCTCATTTGCAGCGAGAAATCGCTTCTCGGCGAGAAGTATGATGCCTTCAAGCAGAGTTATTGGGACCTCCCCATCACTTGGGTCGAGGCTGTTATCAAGTGTCGGGATGATAAGAGCAAAGATATGCTCGAGATTGTTAGGAGCCGTGGAACTTATGTGCCTCGGGGCGGAGAGAGCACTATTATGTCTAGGTTTGTGGTCCTTTTGGCGATGGATTTGGGGGATTTGGGCTAACGCTTTCTTTTTTTTTTTCTATAATAATATAGGCTTAAGTGATTTCATTGGGTGGATTTAGTGGCGGTGTGATATATACGAATGGGGCTCTTGGTAGTGGTTTTGTTAATATGCTTTTTTATTTTATTTGTCCGGTCTAGCGTGCACTTGGCGTTTGTGTGCTGCTTTGTATCATGCTTCATTCAGTTTGTTCGGTTTATATGGTATCCTTCCCGATAAATTTCTCCATCACCGGTCGAAAGAACCTTGCTTCACAAACTATCATGCGATGCCCAACGACAACTGCAATTTAACCTATATACTCACTAACCATCACTCCCCCACCAGGACCCGCTCCCCCAAGTGTACCACCCCATCACTAAGCACATCAATCCCGTATCTGCTCCCCCCTTCGCCCCCCATCCTCTCGAGAACAATCAAGTAATCCCATCCCCCCTCCAGGTCCACATCCCCAGTCCTAACCCCCTGCGGCACGTCCGAGAACTCCCCCTCGCCCCCAGAACTAGCCTCCGTCTTCCTCCCCCGACTGCCAACCTTCCTCTCGATGGAAATCCTAAGCATCGGTTGCGCCCTCGAGTTCGTCCACAGCGTACGAGCAGTGCCGGAGACCCTAGTGAGACGCTCTACTTCTAGTGGATAGGCCACTGCTGTCACACCCGCTTCCCAGACGCCCTGCAGGTCTTTGCGCAGTTTGCCTGCGGATTCTGAGGGCAATTCGGTAACGGTAGCATGCGAGATGGTAGACGCGACGGTTAGAGTAAAGTCGCCGATTTGGCCGGGCTCAAAGGTTGACGCAACGATTGTGTATGTGCCCTTTTGCAATGAGGCGGTTTCCGCATAAGCACAGCCACGGCGGTACTCCCCGCTTTCGGTGATTATGTCGCGGGTCGTCACCGACGCTACGCGTTTTCCATTACCCCAGACCAACTTTATGTGGACGGGAAGGGTATCGCGAGCTTCAAGGAGGAGCATTAGATCGCAGGTTGATGAGACAGAGAGGCGGAATTGTGGGTTTATGGAGTAGGTTGGAGATTGAGCATTGCCGCCAGCGGTGTCGGGAAGCCATTGGGACTGCAGGACATTGTGGAAGCTGTAGGGGTCTTCTGCTTGGGACATGTGGATTGAGTTTACGGAGAGGGCGGAGAGCGTAAAGGTGTGCGGGGCCTTGGACAGGTCCTGGGAGGAAACTGCTACAGTGTATTTCGTTTCGGGCGGCATTGCGTCGATACGGAGGAGGGTCTGGGGTGAATCAACGTATGGACCAATGTGGAGGGCTGATTCTGATCGGTAGACTCGCCTTCCCGGGCTTTCGAATACGCACAATGATATATAGCTTGTTTTCCCGTCCGTGATACCGGTTTGGGCGTTGTAGGATTCTGTAGAAACTATGTGACGCCCTAGCAACAACCAGACGAGTGCAGGGTGCGGGCTTGGGTTCTCTAGACAAAATTGTGGGTTTCCCCCGATACAGCCTTCGGACCTCTTCTCCGAAAGATCCCAGGCGAAGTGAGTATCATTCCTATGTGTAAAAAGACCTGGATTCCAGTTGAGATATATGCTTGTGAAATGACGAAAAACATTGTCTTGCGATATCCAGAATACACCAGGAGCGGCCTCCTCTTCCGAAGCAGCCGGGAGCGCATTCCTGAGCCTATTTGTTTCGAAGGCGGAAACTCCGGAACCGGCATCAAAATCCTCTTCTTCGTCCGAGTCAAGCGAAGGAGCGCCTTTCCATACTGTACCCTCAGACCATGGGTTTTTGACCAACAGCATGCCTTGACCTTTGTCTTCCTTCAGAGCTAAGACAGCATAGTCATGGTCCCCTATCAGGCCCAATTCCATCTCCTCTCTCCTAGTCATGCTCCCAGTCCCTAATGTGATCAGAACGTCGCCATATCCCCATGCCTTGTACATCCTTTTCCACAAGCTGCCTTGTAGTACATCATCGGATTGAAGGAATACATGCTCGGGGATCCATCCAGTTAACGCTAGCAAGTCCGTCCCAGAATTCGAGCCAGGGAAATCATATCCGCCCATCAACTTTAGATAGGCCTTCTCGATGAGCGCGGGGTAAAAGATTTTTGGATCGTTACGACAAGTCACGTACAACGACCGGGAATTATTCGAAACGGGTAGGTAATCGTCAACAATCACCTAACAATAGTTCAGTGAGCGCTTGTGCTCAACAGCGGTGGGAAGGTTTCCAACCTTGCGAAAACAACCGTTAAAGTAGAGCTTGACGATGTACTTCCCGAGTGGACTAGCTATCGGACAATTATACTTGTTTTGCGGGTATAAAATATTTGAAATAATCTAAACCGAAAGCTTAGTTGATATCTCGCAAGGAAAGTTCCCAATCCCACAAATAGCCTACCTTCCCGAAGCCACTACCCTCTCTTCCTATAGCTGAGCACAAACTAGCCACTACCGAGCAATCGGTGACAACATCTTGGGTCAGGTCAAGTGTGTGTCCCCCTCCGGGAAACAAAACCTCCCCGCCCTCAAATATTTCGTCCGGTCGTTTCCAAGCCGCTAACATGGATCGCTGTGAATCGGAGAGATGTAAAAATCCAGAGGGGTCTCTCGTTTGTGTCAGGCCGGCAATCCCAATCACAGGAGAAAAAACGACAGTGGCTTACGAAAACAGCCCATCCGGGAAAAATTCTGAAGGCTTAGGGTCGTTCTCCCATGGTGGATAAGTCAGGCCGTTCACCTTAGACGACTTCCATAGGAGAGTTTGCTCTTTAACCGTAAGTTTGTCTGTGCAGATCAGCGATTTTCGACCAGTGGTACTTCCCGAGTCGCTCGGGGGAGGTACTGGTGGTGCGGACGTCTGATCACGATCCCCATTCTGAGCCCTCTCCAGTGCCTTCTTCTGAAGCCTTTTAATGCACTCGGCCTTCCTGATGAGCTGCTCGCACTTTTCGCCCAACCGCGGCTTGTTGGCGTCAGGGGCGTGAAGGCGAGCTTTCATGCAATGCTCGATGGAGTTTATTGCGGCTTCGAGAGACTCGTCGTACCTTGCGTTGAGGAATAGGGAATCTGCAAGAGATTCGGCAGCCTGCAGGGTCAAGATTAGTTTGCGGAGGGCTCGAGGTAGTTAGATTGGGTGTGCCTACCGCTATGTTCTCCTCAAGTAATGATCGCTGGGAAGCGAGTCTTGTCTGCTGCATTGGATTATTCATTGTCTATTGTCGACCTGATGACGTTGGCGAGACCCTGGAGTTGTCTGTGCGGTCCCATGCTATCATAAGCTTTGGGGGAAACGCCTCCACCGCCACACGAAAGCTATATGTCATGGTTGATCACTCGGAATTTTATCGGTGCAATGATCTTTGGGGTCCAAGATTTCCAGGGAAACAGGGTCAGAGGTACATGCCCTTAGACATGCTTCTCGTGACCGGGCCCTATCCGTTTGCCCGGGCACTTGATCTCCGTGCGCGGACGTGCAATAATCTTTTGAGGATGGGGGCGTCAGCCGTCCCGAATTATTCCTTTCTCCTTTGGTTGTCGGCCCCGAGCGGGAGACTCCCGCTGGTTAAGATCCATATTCGGGACTTTGGATCTCCTAGGGGGGGGGGCGTTCATGGGCATGGCTATTGGTGTCCCGGGATGCCTTGCCCGTGTGCGAATTATGTCTCTGATGAGGCAGATACGATAGCCGATAGACTATTTAGACTCAAGGGTTGTTAAATAGACAGGATAGACTAAGGAGTCACGGGCTGCGCCTCTGGGAATGCTATTTAGAAAGTGATATGAGTATGATACGATAGCAGTTTATTAGGGCATTGTATGATACATTGCCTTTATTGGCTGGGTGCTAGGTGATTTTTGAGCTGAGCTTCGCTGACATGCTATTTGCCAACCGGACCTCATACATCGAGGAGCCCTGGACTGCCTGGGGCCGAGCCTCATGTCTTCCACATTATTTTCGTCTTCGGCCGAAGCATGGTCGAATGTGAAATGTCTGCTTGCATGCTTCTGGGAGAATATCTTGAAGTGCCCTGAAGAATGGATGATACACCGGCGAGTGAGGGCGTTCGTCTACATTGTGGAGACATACGATCAGATGTGACGGCCGCCAAGGATGAAATATTGTCATAATGACCAAATCCCATGGGTATGATACGAT